GCAGCCGGCGCTCCACCAATTGAAAAAGACATGATAGCTCCTATTCAAGAGATGAATGAGAATGAATTTCTGTCATGAGAAGCTTGATGTAAAGATTTGGGTTTTGGGTTTTGGGGTTTACCCGAGAGCCATGATGAGCCAACGATGCCCGTGGCGACCAAGATGAGGGGTGGCCCGGAGAGAGGCATTTCTGCAATGATATTTGAGCAATGCGCTATATGGCAGAATCGAGAATGGTTTTTATTCGATAAAGTTGGCGATGCCTTGTAAAGAGAAAGCGGGGGATGATGAGAGTTTGAGAATTCTTTTGCAAAAGCCAGGCTGCCGAAGGCTACGAGATTTTAGTGGAGTGGTGGCATGTTTCTGAATCCTGCATGACGTAGCCTCCAACCTCCAAGCCGGCGTCCCAATGCCAGGGGCGATAACGAAAATCGACCTATGATGCTAACCAGGACGACCACGGGTTTGGAGTGGTCCGTGGGTGTTGAACGCTGCGTTCAATGCTGGAGACGGAAGCGATTCTGTGAGACGACTTGGTGGAGGGTCAATGACGGGGGTAATCGAAGAGACTACCAAGTAGGCTTCTTTATGCCTGGTTCAAGTGTTGCCCCGGAAAAATCAACTGCAAGATGTTTGGCCGTTATCAGATTGGTAGGTAATGGTCGGGGTTGATATAGCAGGTCGTTGCAGTTAAAATGCCCAAGATATAGGTAGAACTTGGAAGCAAATGGGTAACCCGTTGTGATGAACCCTGACCATAGCTGCGTCCGGTCAAGAATCTGCCTCGGCGCCGCGGGTCTTTTCTTCGTGTGTCCTGCTCGTTTATTAGAAGGCACAACAACATGTTATAACGCAAAGGGTCGACTTTGGTGGACATACTATACGCTCTGATGTTGGTCTGGATTATACAGAGCTTTGGAGTTTCGCCGCACCGACACAGCCAAGTTCCCACCATTCCATCATACAGAAGGTGCTCTATGGCAATCTCAGTTGGCGTCGATACCAGCACTTGCACTACGGAGCGAATCTTTGTGTCAAAGGCTCCAATGAATAGTGAAAAGAGTATGGCTCGTACGAAGGCGCTGGCCCATATTCGTTGCATGCAGAATATGGGCAAGAGCCAATACAACTATGTGTCTCTCCCCGTTCAAGACAGGCTCACGTCTACTTTGCGCTGTTCGAGGGTCCGTAATTATTGAAACGTGCTGGTACATCCAGACTGGTGCAAGAAATTGAAGAGTCGTATACTATCGCCGTTGGCTTGTCAAGGTTTCTCATCTAGAAATGCTGTTCAGCCTTGTCAAGTCACATTCTAGGAGGCGAAACAACAAACGGAAAGACATCATAATGGCAACCCACCATGTTTGACAGCGCCCATTTCTCTGGTTAATTAGTATCAAACATCTTTCAACCTCTGACTTCCATGGTTCCTCTCCTTTGCCAAGGTGAAATATGATACGAAACTCGAATTCACCGGAAAAGCATGTGCCGTAATATTCCAAGCATGGCAAAAAATAAAATGGGAATAGGAATGAATAGAGACATCACAAAAATGTAGGACAGCAGATGCGGTACTGGGTACCAAGGAGGTAGTATGAGAAAGATCGAAGGCGGTGGAGGGAATTTCTTTCTGCCTCTTTCCTTCTTTTTTTTTCTGCCACTCTGCGGCTTTGATAGAGGAAACAACTTGAAATCATGTGACATCATGTCTCTCGATCACATTCTCAAGATTCTTCCGTCCAATTCTAGCATTACGCCTCTATTTTTCTCTTTCACAAAACTAGAATGTGATGAATATCGCTGCTACTGCCAGCATATAGAAACCTGCCTCCAGGAAAATGATATTGGCTGAACTTGACGACAAACACTATTGGTCATACCTCTACGTACATTATTTGGACTTGCCTTTAACGCCTGATGTGCGGTTGGCGATCTCGAGTTAAGTCCATGCCTAAACCCAATCTACTTTTACGAGATTGTTGTATCTGCGCTACACTATGACCCATCTTGACAGAGCTTTATCAAAGACGAGAATCGGTTGTCAGACGAAGCCACTTGCCATGACGATATCACCCCAAGGCAAAAGAAGCTGGACAAGCTTAAGGCCCCGTGATCGAACCTTCAGAGGCGCTCTTGGGAATTCTCCTTACATATCGGTTTACGTGTAAGCTGTCGTGGCAGACCCCAACTCGTCCTTGTCGAACGTCATCCAGCCGCCATCTCCGAGGAAATGCATCTTTGCTCATACTCCGCACTCGAGGCACTGTTTGGCTCTCATTGCCGGTGTTAGGTGCGCATAGGCATATCCCGTCTACATCTGAGCTCACGGCATTGTTGGCCCCCAAACCTCTGAAACCGGCATGGTACTAGCAGGTCGATCCTCAAGGTGCCAAATCAGCGGTCTGCCTGTGCAGATCTGCACACGCCCCCTTTCAAGACGGGAGCGGTCAGAGTTGGAGATCCAAGAAGCTGTGCAAGTACACGATACTTTCATAAAATACCCTCGAGACCCCGTCAAGTACTCTCTACATCTGCCGAGGGCCCTGCAACAACGCCCCAAGGAACAGCCTCACATGCAATCTTCACACCATCTACGGCACACCGGCAACGACTTGGGGGCCATGGCTGAGGGATTCGATATGCGAGGGAGATCCAGCCAAGTCTAGAGGTTTACTAACACTCACCCTGGCTAGGTACCTACCGAGGTGTCGAACTGTACTATAGTACAGTCCGACACCTCGTGCTTTCGCGTACCAGCATGGCCTCTGAACCGCGTAAAGCGGCTATCTAACAACTGACCAAGCTGTCATTCGACCTACAGTGCTGGGCACCCAAGTCAGTCGGTGATGGGATGAGAAAACAAGTGACCATCGGCCTCGGTGCTTGTACAATTAATCATGGCCACCCGTACGTCGAAATCCGACCGGATGGAAATCTCCCGTTGCATGCAGCCGATATCGCAAGACGCACCGATTGAAGCTGCTGATCCAAGCATGGCAGTCGCATCTCCTGTCAAAAAAACAGACGGCTGTGCGTTGAATACCCTTGGCCATGCACACCCTGCGGCTGATCTGCAGCCAAGCCGGCAGCCATCGCCCGACAACGGCAACGGACGCATATCGGGGATCAGTCCAACCCATGCGATGCAGCTGGTTGATGATGGAAATAGATGGCATCAACGGCGACGCCTCCGTAGCCAGGCACCGGCAAAATTCTCTTTCTCACCATCTGTGCGCCGGTCTCAACAGAGAGGGGCTGCTCGAAGCCAAAGCCCGTGCTTCACGCATACGAGTAGGAAAGGAGTCAAGGCGACGTGGACCTCGTCAGTGCTTCAACATTGGCCAACGTCCGAGCCCTCGTGCCTCGAATTTCAAAGAGAGCGAGAAAAAAAACCTGTCTTTACTTGAACTTGTGAGAATCTACTCCCTGGCTAAATGGCTTCACATGCCAAATTTTACGAGGGATACACAGCTCTTGTCGTCGACGAATAGCTTCTCCAGAATCCTTCTTTGCAGATGCTTGCATGGCTCACCCCCCCACCCCATCGTCATGCAGCCAAAACCGTGAGGCATTAGCGGTGCTAACGGTGCCTTACACTGTTTCCGACTAACTACTAAGGTATCCATCTGCCTTGTGATGCCATTCACTGGCTTGCAAGTAAGCAGGTTTCAGCTCTGACCGGGCTCGCCTAACAACTCCGTACAGCCCTTCTTCTGGCTCGGAGAATTTACAAAATATCAGCTGTAACATTCTGACGGCCGCCCTTGGCAGCTCCTGATTGTCACAAGGTCCCTCTCCATTGCCACATTCTCACCACGCTGGTTGTCACTAGCCTAGTTCTTGTTCCTTTTTGACAAGGCCAGCCAAGTCCCGCGGCCTTCTCCGAATTCGTGTCGTTCAATCAAGCCTCCCACGTGAAGCTCTGCATGTCTCACCACAGCCACACTCCCCTCCTTCTTGCCATGTTAATAATGGATCATGATGCTGTAAAAAATTTGGGCCCCTTCCATGGTACACGACGTCACAAAGGGAGCGGGCAGTCTTTTTTAGCAATGCCAGATTTTACTCTTTTGAATTTATTGGCAAGATTAAGGTACATCTTCAGTAGTTCTATTAGAAAAGGGAATGTGTGATTCCTCCCAAGGCGCGCTGCTTGACAGGGCGCTCATTATCGACCCTTTCAGATATCGTAGCCTTTACCCATCTCATTCCCATGAAGAGGAGGAAAGCTCTCAAAAGACAAACTTGCCAACCTTTCTTTTTTTTTTCAACGAATTTACACGCCTCCCCTGTAGAAGCACGCACAAAGGGAAAGAAATAAAAATAAGAAAATGGCATGGAATCCTCCATGCATGCATGAAACACTATTGGCTGCCCACTCTAATACTGGGCGAAGGATATCATGACACTCGCGTGGTCTCATCTCCCCGTCTTGATGTATGCAACAAACCCAGAACAAAGGGAAGAAGAAAAGGGCTGGATCGACTGACGATGTCATATCCCATATATGCTCTGTAATGAAATGCCGTATTTGCGAACAACACCAACCAGCCACCCAAGGCCTCGCGGTGAGCCTCGTAAAATACTGAGGGAAAGAAAAAAGGACGATATTCAACCTCCAATAGAACGCCTGCCGGGCTGACTCTTCCTCTTGGGTCATCCGACTCTTTGCTCCAACTCCAATGCGTGTGGTGACAACTCTTATATCTCCACCTGGACAGTGCACCGACCCATAGAAAACAACCCCGAAAAGAAAAAGAAAGAAGAAAAAAAGAATCAAGAGTAGACCGCGATGTGTGAAAAGACAACAGAGTGTGTCTATTTTGAGTTCAAATAGACGCGAAGATGACGAGGAGGAAAAGAAAAGGAGACCACTTCGCCCCACTCCTTGTCGATGACTGAATCTATGAATTAAAAATTTGAAGAAAACAGAGGAGGTTCGGGAATAAGATGATGATTGATATATGGTGGATTGCTGGCAAACACCAACGAAGGGGGGCTTAGTAGCCAGGTTGACCAGGCATCTTACCCAGCGAGTGAGAGCCATGGGACTTTGGTGGAAGATGGTTATGGCAGAAGATCTTGCTTCCGCCCTTGCCGCCGTAATCCTTCTTGGTCACATCGATCACAACCTTGGGATCATCGTACGACTCGAGTTGGCAACACTCGATATTCTTGACCCAACGATTGGTGATGACTTCGTAGACGCTGATCCGGCTGTTGGGGTTAGGGTTGAGCATCTGTAGCAGAATGCGTCGCAGGGCCGGAGGATTCACACCGACATCGAGAGCGTAACAGTTGGGATAGTCGGTATCCGTAATGCCAGCGTCCTCTTCTTGCTCGTGCTTCTTGTTCCACTTGATCCAGCCCGTGACTAGCTTGTCGTAGTGCAGGTTGCCGGCCTCGGCCCTGGACCAAATGGCACCGCCAAAGGTCATGTAAATCATGACAATGGCTGCGCTCCACACGTCCAAGGCTCGCGGGTCGTAGTCTGCGTTCTTCAACAGCACTTCGGGCGCAATATAGGGCTCGCTGCCACAGATGCCCGGGCGGCAGAGCCGGATCTCGCCCATGTTCTTACCACATTGGCCGCCGGATTCGCGAAGGCCGGGGTGGGTGCCGCAAAAGACTTCGGAAACGCCAAAGTCGGTGATTTTCAACTTGCTGTCCTTTGTGATGAGCAGATTCTCGAGCTTGATGTCACGATGGGCGATGCCGTTGGCGTGCAGGTAGTTGACGCCCTGGATGAGCTGCTTGAAGAGGCATAGGCGGTCCTTAAGCTTGGCCTCACCCTTCAGATGGCCCTTTTGCACAAGGCTAAACAGGTCACCCTCGGAGCAGTATTCCATGACGTGGTTCCAGCGTCCGTGATCTGAGCAGAGCCGGACGGTCTCGACAATGTTGGGATGGTGCAGGCTCTTTCCGATGCTGAATTCCGACTTGATCTTCTTGTCGTAGTCCTCCTTGCTCTCCCGGCCCGACTTGCCTCGGAACTCCTTGACGGCGTACATTTCGGTGGGGAAGCCCTTGCGCACCATGAGAGAGACTTTGGAAGCGGCGCCCTTTCCAAGATGCTTCCCATGCCGGCCCAGAAGCTTGCTCTGGTACTCAAACTCATCCTGCAGCACCGCGACATCCACGTTGAAGTCGTCCGGCAGGCTCAAGCTCATGCGACGTGCCTTGGCGCCGGTTCCGGCATCGGGGGGCATCGCCCAGGGCTGTCGCTCGGGGGGGTACGTCTGGTCACCGGCATTCATCTTGGCGTGCTGATGAGGAACCGGCCCGCGGTTTCCAGCGTCAAAGCTGTTGGCACGGCGCGACGCCTTGTTAGGGGGGCGCTCGGTAGTGCGGCCGACGGTTGTGCCGACAAAGTTGACGGCTCGCCCCCGCAGGCTGAATCCGGTTGATGCACGATTCTTCTTCTTGAGATCGGCCTCATCAAGAGACACCTTGTCTGCCTGCACCATTTCGAGAGGCGGAGCCCCTGGAGACGGAGGTGAACTAGACCGGATAGTCATGTTGGACGGTCTTGTAAAAGAGAAGCGACTTGAGCGGGTAGTTGGGCGGGCGCCGCCCGTAGGGGGTCGTTGCAGATAGGAAGACTCCGAGGGCGTAGGCGATCCGGATTCAAAGACCGGGGCGTCTTGGGCGCCGGGGCGGCGAAAGAAGTTGGTCATTGTGCTCTTGATACTGGCAGTCGAAAGTCGACCCGAGCGTTGCGCTGGTGGGGGGAGTTCTTGGAAAGAAGGTCGGCTCGACGTGGGGGTCAGATCTATAGATTTGTTGCTGTTGCTGATGCTTCGTGCAAGCTCAGAAGAAGAAGAAGCCGTGCCTGGCTTTGAGACTGAGACGGGTGGTACGGTTGTAGGGGAGAGGAGACTGCTGGAGGTTGGTCTCGAGGTTGGTCTCGAGGTTGGTCTCAGGGTTGAAATCGGGTTCAGGGCTGCGACTGAGGCTGTTTTGCGCGAAGACGAAGAGAGGATGGCGGCCTTGGTTGCAGATGTGACGGCGGCGGCAGGGTGCTGCTGATGCAGATTTGCACCTTGGTCTGACTGCGTGTTGAAACTGCTGCGGTCGTCCTGATCCTGGTCATGCGCATTCCTCAGCGAGGTAAAATCTTGCGATTGGCGGCCGCTGGTGGGTGTAACTGGCTCAATGGGACCCTCGCTTTCCGTCTCGTCACCCTCGAGGATTGGATCTGGGAGATCGATTGGCGCTTGGCGGGGAGGCGAGCCGGCGTTGGAGTAGCTGGTGGTATCAGACGAGTATTGAAGGGATTGCGCGCATTTGCCGTCTGGGAGCAGTTGGAGATTTGGGGTTAGCAAGAAACAAGAAGAAGAAGAGATAAAAAAGATAAAAAAAAAGATTAAAAAAAAAGAGTAAAAATCAAGCCGGCTTGCTCATGGGAAGCATGGAATAGGCAAGGCAAGAGTATAAGATCGATAGGTACAGTAGGTATAAGAGTGTATCAAGAGGTAAACAAAACAAAGGTATTGCGGAATGTAGAGCGAATTATTCAGCAGGAGGCGCAAATGGTGGTGTTGAAGAGACGATGCGCGCCAAGCAAAAAAACCTGCAGCGCAGAAAAGAGGCGTATGCGGGTTGCCAAAGAAGCAGTGCAGAAGCCTCTTTTTGAATGGGGGGGGAGGAGGGGGGAAACAAAAAAAAAAAAAGCACTGGAGCGGAAATAGCAGAAATCGCCATTGAAATGGATGGATCAATCAAGCAATGCATTGATCCAGGCCGGGCTTATCTTAGTAACAAAAGGCGACGGGACATAATAAAAAGTCACTCACTGTCTGCAGCCGGAACTGGCTGGGGTGCTGCTGGCGGCGCTACTGGCGCTGAAGCTGTAGGAACCAGCATCCCCGGACCTGCTGAAAGCGCCATAGCTCTGGCGGTTGGTTTGGCGGCTGGAGGGGCCCAGGATGCCTTGGAGCTCCACTGTTCTGGAAGCGAGCGAGCGGTGGTACAGCGCCTGTCTGTTGTGTGGGCTGTACGAGTACCTACTGTACAAGTACACGTACTCGTATGTACGTAAGGCGCCGCTTGTGCCTCTGCGTCTGGCATGCTTGGGCTTGGCTAGCGTCTAGGCGCTGTCTTGGGAGTCGAATCAGGATGCTGCTGGTGCTTCTCTAGAAGCGTTCGATTCGGGGCCGATCCTGCTGGGAGGGATCTCTGGGGCGGGCCCTGCGACGTAATTGGGCTGCCGAGTTGACCACTCAGCAGCAAACAGGCTCGGGGTGTGATGACGAAAAGATTTCAAGTCCGCGGTGTTGCCGAAACGGTGCTTTGATTTCCCACGGGGCAATGTTTTGTTGGTTTTGAGCACCAAAGGGGGGGAAAGAGGTTGAGTTGGACGAGGGGGTTGGCCGTGGTAGATATGCCTCTGAAGAGAGCAAAACCTACTACTAGGTTGGAGATGGCGACGTCAAGGTTTCGTTTCACGCCGGTGGCGGTGATGTGTGGAGTTTGATGGTATCGGAGCGTCGAATCTCAGGCCCTGTTCCTTTTCCCATTCCCATTCCAATTCACTCTTTTTCTCCCTCTCTTCTTCTTCTTCTTCTCTCTCCTGTTTGTTTCGTTAATTGCTAATTGAATGTGCTCGTTTCCTCTTTGGCCTTGTCGCGTTGATGCGGCGGTCGAATAGCGGGCTTTTTTTTTTTCTCGCAGCGGCAAAGTGTCCCCACCGAGGCTTTTAAATCACTTCGAGGTGGGCTGTAAGCCGATGCTTAGAGAGCTAGATGTTGCGTGAATCAAGTCGGTGAAGGTGATGAGATGCCAAGTCAGGTTCTCGGCGTCGACAGAAAAGGAGCGGACAGGCAAAGGCGTTATATGTCGGTCATGAAAGTATAAGTGAGTAAGATATATGTAGGCGTGTAGTAAAACTGGTGAATCAAGAAAGATAAGGAGAATTAAAAAAAAAAAAAAGGAAGAAAGCTTGAGCAGAGAAACAAGATGTAGAGGAAACTAAAATGTGGAGAGCTTTCCCTCACTCTTCGTCTCTCTTCTTTAGCCAAGACAAGAAGAGAGAGAAGTGGTCAAAAGCGTGGGAGGTGGAGGCATTTAATAAAAAACAATGGACATGTCCAAATCGAGGCGACTCTAGAAGCAAATCTAGAGGGGGTGAAGGGGAGCATCCGCGGAGTGTGCAGAGAGAGTGTGTCGAGGTACACGGTACATGAGGTACAATCTAGAGGACTCACCCCCAGTACGGGGTACAACGGGCACAAGGTACCTAAGTACCTCCCAGCTCGTCGTCCCTTGTGTTCGATGCCAAGGCCATTAGCACCATGGCAATCTGGCTGGCCTTGGTAGGCGCTACATGTACGCTTGAATGACCTCCATACAAGTTCCTCAAGTTGGCACCGAGGTGAGGGCAATCATTTGCGTGCACAGAGCCCAGCGTTGTGCCACAAGGGCCAGGCAAGGCACCTGATTCAGTGTGCTGTACAAGTACTATAGTTACAGAGCAGCGTGGACGATTGGGGTTCGTCCCATCTTATCAGTCCCTACCTCTACTAGAGGTACGTACGACCTTGGGTAGATAGGTATGGAGTGTACGGAGTAGGTACTACCTTAAGGTTCCAGTTGAAGAGGCCGGGTAAATGTACGTGGCTTTGGACAACGCCGAGAACTGCAAGCTCCAACGAGCCCAACAACATGAAGTTGTGAAGCTTGATCATGCAGCATGCCCTGGCATAACGTGGGAGACGCGGAGCCCTGCACTATGTGTACTCGGTACGTACAGTACCGTCATCGGCGCCAAGTTTCGCTTCGCTTCGCTCTTTGCTCCCTGAGGACAGAGGTAAGACCTGCGCACCTCCAAATATCAACAAAAAATGCAATTCTAGCCGCAGTAGGTAGTTTAATGCAGCCACGCCACTGTGCGGCCATGTCTTGGTTTATTTTAGAACTAAACCCTCACGATCAAAGTTCAATAGAAAGAGAGAAAAAAACTCACTCAGGGTATGTGCAAACCCAGCTACATGAGGATATTCTATCACGTACAGGTAGATGTACCTAGGTATCTTGCGATGGGTACCTACCAAGGTATCTGATCAATCAATTCGATTCACTGAAGGTACTAGGTACCTAGGTAGGTACTAACCCACCTGTATGCGGCCAAGTGCTTAGAAGACATGTGCAGGTGCTCGCAAATGCACCTGCTCTGTTTCAAGAAGCTGAAGAATCATGGAAGCTGCAGCTGCAGAATACAAAGGTACATGCCCGTAGGTAACCAAACAGATGCGCTCTCCAGACTTTTCTCCTCTTCCAGACTTCATCATCTGCACACCAATGCGACCACGGATCCAAACTGGGCGACCGACCTGACCTCATATCCGCATCTCTATTCGCCCGCCTAGCCTATGACGGCGATGCTCTCTCTCTACACGTATTCCCCTGCTGGGAGGGCGCGCATATCGCTGCGCTATCCAAAGTACGGTAGGGCTTCTAATTCTCTGCTCTGTCTCGCTCCAATGTCCTTTTCCCCAACCACCATCTTTCGCTTGGGTTATCAAGCCTTGGCACATATTTCCAAGTGCTGGCTATTCCGTACTAACACCTGCTACTACTCCCAGTGAACCCCCAGCAACAGGTTCTTCGAGCCCGGCCCAAAGAAGGCATATTTGATCGCCGCTTGGCGTTATGAATGGAGTTCTGGATACGAAGTAGCGCACTGTACTCCGTATTGATTGTTTGTTGGTGCTGATCTGTCTGATGCAGGTGTTGCTGGTACCTGTACTCCGTACGGCACGGTACGTTGAATATCCTTGTGTGTCCCCAACATCACGGCTCCGGCAAATGTACGCATAGAATCCAGGACTCCGTATGGCCTACAGGAACATTTGCTCACCATGGTTTGTAGTGATGCCCTCCTTGGCACATCAAACCGGCACAATCGTGGAATGAGCCGCTCTTATGATTGATTCTTCAGCACTGGCAATCGGGTGGAATTTCACCGATCGCCGTCCATTGCCCCTTCTGACGGCATCAGCCAAGGGATCGACATATAACGCTTCGATTCTCCCCAGTGCCAGCCCAGGCGAGCCAGGGCTCATAGCTCGATTTCAAGCTACGAGTAGTATCAGACAGCATACGAACATAAGTACGAAGTACCTACCTACTCGTACATTCTGTACGTGTCTTTGCAAGCGCCATCGGTACCTTTGATTTGCAGCCACTCTAGCTTGGTTGTACTGTGCAGGTAAGAAGTGCAGGCACATCATGCTTAACATGCGCTGGACCCCCTTTCGGTGCCGGCACACCGTCCCCGTGTCCAGTGTCAGCTCGCCCGCCATCGGCCTCGCTTTTTATGCTCCTCCGGATGCCGTCCAGGTGATTCATCAATCATCTTGCACCCTTCCGAAGATGGGTACCAACGGCAAGCCACCAGGCTGGATATGGCCATTATATGTATTACTAAAGCAACGAGGAACACACGGTAGCATCACCGTTACCTTGCTACTGAGCTGACGTTCAATCAATCCCTTGGTGCTCGTATAACAAGCTGACGCTGCTTGAAGCCACTGGGCTTCCCCTGCCGCAAGAGAATTCGCGTCTCTCATCACACATGTGCACCTCGAAACAGTCATTTTTCTCGGCCAATTCACCACAAGGCAAGGTATTCGGCGCTGGAACCAAATCAAGCTCCTGTTTCTCTGTGATCATCTTGAAGCCGGCCAACCGCCGTTTCATGCTTTGACTGCTGCAGGAGCACGGTGCGCCTCACATGCCACCGCATGCCAAGTAGAATGAGAAAGAAGAAAAAAAAGAGGCGCATGGGGCGCTTCTATGGCAGCAGCATTTGCTTGTACAAAGTACAGTACAGTCCAGTACGGCTGCAGGTAATGCCAGCAGCTAACCACGACCTGCTCATCACCCCTGGTCGGACCCCCTTTCCCCTTCTCCGATCCAGTCGGCCGCAGAGCCTATCTGGTCGCTGGAAACCATCGTAGGGGAGCAAAAGCCGAAGCAGCAAAATTGCAACCCCAGGCCAAGCAGGATTGACAAGGGATCCAGTAATAAGACGCTCGACGAATGGGCATCGTACCCAACGCAGGGTCTCAGAACGGCCAAGGATGAGAGGATTTAATTATAGCATCTTGGTTCAAGCAGCAACGAGTCACGAGCATCATCATATTTGACCTGTAGATATCCATGTCCCGTAATGGGGGGGACTCGTCGGCAAGAAGCGAAAATGACGCTCGCCATCGGTTTCTTAGCACTGCAAGGTACTCGTACAGCATACTTGGGTCTATGCATTGATTGCTGTACTTCCGCTTGCTCGATGCGTGTACCGAGTACGGAGCAAAACTACCGGCAACGGAACACGCCCGTCCAGACAATGTACAGGGTCCCAGGAGCAGCGATGATGCTCCGCTTCAATTGACGCCCCCGTGGGAGCGGCAATGGATCACAGGCGGATCACCGAGAATGGATCAAAGTGCAGCAGGCCAGCAGCTAGCCGGCCAGCTCGCCAAGTTTAGGCCGCCCGGTTTCCTTCAACCTGCTTCATATCATTTCATCGTCTGCAATAAAGCGGTACCTTTGCCTCCACCAACGGCAGCCAACGCTATTCCTTAAGCTCTTTCACTTGCCGACCATTGACGCATGTGCTTGTCCAAGTTCGGGCCGTCGACGTGAAGCCCAAGCTCTGTACATCTCTCTATTGGATCTGGCCGGCTCAATCGGCATCAAAAAGCGCCTCCAGCGAAGTAGGCAAGGAAGCATCCCCAAGCTAGCCTTGATTATGCCAGGCGTTCATTCGGTTGGGAAGCGAATGGGCCAAGCCCGCGCTTTTCGCGCCTCTCTGGATTTATTTCATTTTTCGCGCAGTCTTCAGCATTCGGCCAGGCTCTTGTTGACGTGCCAATACTGATATCTGCATCAATACGGAGTACGAAGAGAGAATCAGGTATACGAGTACTCATAGGCCAAGGGACGAGCCAGGCTGCCTTGGGTTTTCATGATGCGTTGTTACGAAATGCAGGCGCTACGTTCGGCCGCACGGGCAGCGGCGTCATGGTTCATGCTCTCCCAGATTCATCCGTTGAACGGATCGGCGATAGTGCAAGCCACGACGGGATGAAGCAGAGCAGTACGAATAAGAGGAAAAGTCAATTACGTTGGCATATCCCTACGATCATCGACCAAGCCAAGTTGAAGGACTGGCATTATCTACCTGACCATGGGCAGGGCGTGCGCAACCATGAAGCTCTTCTCTGTCTGAAACAGCTCCAGATGCTCCGTCAGAAGTGCAAGGCAATGATTCCTTGGAATGCAGCGGAGAGGGGCCTCTTGATCCTCCTGTTCCACCCCCAATTGGCTTTTGGGTGCCACCGGATTTAGAGTTGTTTGGATTAAGGACGACAAGTCTTAGACAGACGTTAGGCTACCCTGGCGTCTATCCAAGATTCGGCGTCCACCAGTACGAGTATGTATGTACTCTGCTTATCGCGCATCGTGGCTGAGACCAACATGTACCCAAGACTCTGTACATTGTACAGAGAAACAGGTATCATTCTGGGACACGGGAGCATCTCGCCAGACGACGGGTCTTGTATTTTGACGTTTTCCTTTCTCCTTTCTTCTTATTGGATGCTAAGCACGGCTTCAAGCGGCGACTGTTGAGTACAGCATTTCCTGATGCTTTTCTCTTCTTATTGATATGCGATACATTTCGAATTGCGAACAAGACCGGAGAGCTCCAATGTTTGCGCAATTAATTTCAAGTGCGCAATACGGAGGAGATGGAGAAGATGCTGAGGACTCCACATCAATTCGGAAGCATGCCTGCTTCTATAACGATGTGCGCCCAGGGGGGGCTCCCATTTCAGGTACCGTTTGCTTGGTGGAGACGCAAATCTTCCGTAGCCGTTTTCCCCTTTCACATCTCATCAAAAGCGACCCGACATCGCGATATCGGCGCTCAGGAATGGCCAGTAAACTGGGCACTTGGTTCCTCTTTGGACCGGGGATTATCACTCTCCACTCATCGTTTGAGGGCGAGATTATCTCATCTGCTGCCGACTTACGTTGAAGGGGACAAGGATGAGGCTCGACCAGTTTTGTCCCTGCATGGAGCATCATGAAGGATTGCCACAGCCATCTAACTAATAACTGCTGCCGTTGCCTCCATCCAGTTGTAGTGTTCCCACTAATACGCGTGGTACTGTTTGTGTAGGTTCCCATTCGCGGCATTCAAAAGTATGCTTAAATGGCCGGCTTAGCTCCAAGACATCCTGTGGGCATTGACTCTTGTCTCAGAGGATTGAATCATGGATTTCTTGTACGAGTACTCCGTACAATCCTTCATCCTACGACTCCTGAAAAGGGCGACTCGACTTCTTTCTTGGCAGACTTACGAATGTAAGACATCCAGTCGGCAAGTAGCATCGCCAAGACGACCGCCAAGCACACTAGGGATGGGCTATGAGATGAACATCCTCCGGTTGAAGATAGCACCTCAGTACCTGTGCCCTTTTTGCATACGGCTGGCATTCTGGAACCTGCTTGATCGACATAGATTCGATCCACACCATCATCTAAAGACAGGTATCACAGTTTTGAGATGCGCCGTGCTCAAGAAACTAACAGTTCGGTGGATACACCAGATGTCCATTTTGTCATCTGATGGATTCTCCGCCTTGCTACCCAAGAGGCCGGCTTGGTTCATTGGTTCGAGTGTATCGGTATTTGATTCGTGATAAAATTGGCGAGACTGCAGCGCCGCGGATGTGTCTCCCATCCTGCGAGAGGGAAGAGGCACGCCAAGCCACGCCATTCCCGTGATGCAACATGATGGAACGGCAGATAAGCACACATTGTACGGAGTAAGGGGGCAGTCTTTCAGCCAAGTCTGTCTCGCCTGGAGACTCTCGTGGTCGGATAGAAACCCATCGCCTGACGCGTCTACGAAAGCGCATTCTAGTTTCTCTGAGAGGTTAGCAACGTGCCCTTGGTGTTCACCGGCACACCCTCACATCGGAGAACCCTTCTCCCTCTATTCTCTCTTTTTTCCAAAAAACTTCAAGTTGCGCATTTGTACACCATACGTGGCACAAAGATGTTAGTTGGCGACTTAGGTGATCCAACGGCGCTCCTTCGATCGATTAACGGAGATTGGCGTCTGCCGAGCTATTCAAGTCTGACTTGAGGACTGCGACATGAAAACGGACCTCCATTCGATTTGCTCCCGCGTCGGATTGCTTGTTTCGCCAAGTGTCATGGAGCACCTTGGCATGTCGTACCGAGGCCATCTGATAGTGGTGCTATGTCTAGACAAACATTCCGCAACCAAGACGATGTATAGCATGACGGCTCTCCACCGTCGATTGGCATCGCAATATCCGGATGTACATCTTGTCGCTGGGCTTTTAATGATAAGCGATATATCATATCCCCATCAGGCTGTTCATTATTGGACGTCTGATTATTGGGCTCGCACCCTCGCAATAAGCATTTGGCCCAGCACTTTCAAACACGGCTCGAGTAACTCGAATGCCAGCCTGTGAGTTGCGCAGGGTACAGATCTTGGCATCCTGATCCAAGAACTTGGCGCTAGCAAGCGAAGACAATGATGCGTCCAATTATCACTCTTCTTTTCCGACAAACCCGCCCCCGTCGACTTCTCACCTGAGCTCCTTGTCATAGTGTTTCACGCAAATCGTCTGCGCGCGGGAGATTCAAGAATTACCGGGCCTCGATTGCTGGCTCGCTTGGAGCAGACTCGTTCCCTTGTAGCAGCAGCTGATGTTACCCGTAATCATCATGCCGTGTGAGGCAATCAACCACATTTGGGTGCAAACAGACGCAAGGAAAGAGACTTGTGCTACGAGTGGTTCCGAACACTCGATATCAAATCGTCCACCTGTTTCCCTAAATGAAACAAGACAAACAATGCGAGCTATCGTACGCATCCGCCTGCCACCAGATGAAGTGTGAAGTTGAGTCAGCGAACGGTGAATCCTCGACCACGAGCGTCTCTACATGGCAAAAAGAAGATGCAAACGATGGATCTCGTCAACTACGAAGCATGAGATGGAAACGATAGTGACACCTTTCGGGAAATCTGCTTGGTAATATTGCCATTTATGTATATCGGCACTCTTCCCCGGCCTTGCTCTCCACTCCATTCTGGTAACACGGAGCTGCGCCTTTGCCTTGATTGCGGACTGCATTTATAAGCCCGCCGTACGGTGGAGAGCGGCGGCGTGGGGCCGCCGACGGTACTTTTCCCGCCTTGAGTGCCTTTCGTGTCTAAGCCACGGCTGGTGGGAAAACTCCCGCAGCTCTCAGAAGGAAAGGATTTGTGATGGTTAGCCTCGTCCTGACGCTGCTCGCAAACCGTGACGATTTGATTCTTGATTTCCAACCAAAATGTCGCTCTCTTATCCTGATTCACTATTTATATTGCCAATAGCGCCTGCGTTGCAATTGTTACCACCACCGTTCACCATCTTGTCTCAAGGATCGAATATATAGCGCCCTCCCTTTCTACAAACCACCTGCTGTTGATTCAACATGTCTGGAGAATCACCCATCACCTTGTCTGTGGGGACTCACACCTGGTTCCCAAGCGATGAAACCAAGTTACAGAGCATCATTTCCATTATGCGTACTCACAGCATTTCAATTCTAGACACGGCTAGATTATATGTAAGAACCAATCTTGGGGCTCATCTACTTGTCGATTTGTTAGGATGAAGCACTAATACATCTGGACAGGGAGGTGGAGCATCAGAGTTGGCTATTGGGAGCTTACACTTGGGTCCCGAGTTTTCTGTCGATACCAAGGCGCCAACAGGCTTTGCAAGTGGCTTTGCGGACAAGATTGAAGAGTCGGCTGAACAGAGTTTGGCGGCACTGCAGACTCAAAGAGTATGGCCAACCTCTCCGGTACTTGCTTCTGGCTTCTGGGTTTCTGACATCTCTTCCCAGGTGCGAACGTACCTCCTTCACGGAGCTGATGAAACTGTCTCGTTTGAGAAGCAAATGGAAGCCATTCAGAAGCTCTATGAAAAGGGGAGCTTTGAGAGGTTCGGCATCTCCAACTTTAGTCGCGAGCAGATCCTCAGCATCTACAACATTGCCAAGTCAAAGGGCTATGTGTTGCCGAGTGTCTTCCAAACCAGTTATAGCCTTGCTGCCCGCCACCATGAAACTGAGCTGTTTCCAATGCTTCGGAAGCTCGGGTTTTCCATCCAGGCATATTCCCCCATGGCAGGTGGATTCCTGGCCAAGACTCCAGAGTACATCGAACAGGGCCTGGGGAGCTGGAATCCCGACACGCGGACCGGCCAATTTTCACGTGGCCTCTTCTATAAGCCGTCGTACATGAAGATGCTTGGGGAGTTTGGGACATTGTCTGAGAAATCGGGCATTAGCCGGGCTGGCCTGGCATATAGATGGGTGAGACATCACTCTGGTCTCAAGAGCGACTCGGGCGATGAGATGATTATTGGTGCGTCAACCTCGGACCAACTGGCCGACACAATGAAAGAGCTCGAGGGCGGTCCCTTGGAGCCATGGATTGTCCAGCGCATCGACGAGCTTTGGGAGCTGGTCAAGGAGGAAGAGGCAGTCGACAACTTGAAGAACACCCGCAAGGTATTTGGTTGATTGCAAGGCGTAACAAGACAAAAGCAACATGTATCTCAGCAAAATGACGGAGTGATTGATTCATGATTGTCTTCAGTAGAGAGGAAGCCTCAGAAATTGATGTTGAGTGGTATTAATATTAGATGTTCGAGTATCCAAGGTCCTAACTGAGTACTTGGACACGTTGGCATTCCATGTCGTGACAATTTGGAAAGCCTTGAGAAAAGGGGTCGCCAGCATATGCTAACAGTAGATGTCCCCACAGAAGGTCACAAGAAAACTATATACAAAGAGCATCAATAGATGTAATCGTAGAGTACCTACTGCCGTAAGTACCCCGTATGCAATATGTGCATGTGAATGATATAATGGGCCATGGAAATTCGTTTATACGTCTTGGTGCTGTAGATGGAACTCGCGCGTAATGACTATGCCGCTGGGCTGAACAACGTCTCCTCCTACAGAGACATTTGCGAGCTCAATGCGTGGGCAATCTGACCTCTCCTTGACAGGCACGCTATGCTCTGAGCCATCGTCTGTGAGATGCGCAAATGGGTGCTCGTCCGTCTCGTTGGTGGTGCTGTACGCTCGGGAATGAGAAGTTGCGGTTACGAATCGGCTATCCCTTTGCCAAGTTCGGGGAGCATCCCTATGGTGGAGGCTCATCCTTAATGTACCGCTCGACGGCTGCTGCTTCTTTGAAGGGAGCGACGAGAGGCTGAAGATGCCAAAAGTGAATCTGCTTAGTACTGGCCGCAAGAAGGGAAGACAAGCTATAAGAGGACGAAGGATTAGCCAAATAGCTGAATAGTGATTTTCGATGATATCGATAGTGATGTTGCATGTATTAGTGCCTGCTTACCGCAGAAAATGGCCACGTTTCCTTCAAGAACAGACCAGAGAGCAATATCGACAAAGTTCCAGGTGATGTCTGGACTGGTCAAGTTGCCTTGGAGGAGGTAGTGAAGACGCACAATGGAGACGATCGTGACACTGTTCATTGGTTAGATCATCTGGCGATCAGGGAGCGAAGATCAAGGTAGGGAGAGGGATTTTGGCCACTTACAAGAGTCCCACGAGGAATATCCCGGCAAGAGCCCATTTTTGCCCCCTGGGAAGCTGCAGTTTCGTGATATAGGGAAGAGGCAAGGCGAGCATCAAAACGTCGGTGACTATGGTTGGGATTGCATTTCCGTAGAAGAATTTGACCGAATCCACGGTACATCCGTATTGGTCTGGCCGTAAAGGATGCGTCGGATTGAAGCGGTTCCACCAAGCACTGGTAGGTTGGCATTGAAAAATAGTCACAAGAATCTATGGATGTTGGTTAGCAAAATTTCTTGGTGGCTTCTACTTGCATTCCGGGCTCAAAGACTCACGACAGCAGTAGCCCACAACAGGACTATGACGGCTAGGATGTAGATGGGGATCTTGACGGAGCTTCTGATCTTGAATGAACGCCAATAGAAGGCAAGGATGGACCATTTAACGCACGCAATGGTCACGAAATATCCCAGTTCAGCGATGAACAGTCCAATTGCCCACGCGTATTGCGCATCTGGGGGGTCTGCCCAGACATGTTTACCGAGGCCACGACTGACAGCTAGGGAATCATTAGTGCTGTGAACAAGAGACAGGGAGAAGTATTGACTCCTGGAATGTACCGACCGTATACACCCATCCCAAAGACATGAGCGCAGGAGGGAACCTAAGTAACCATCAGCATCACCTCCAGCTAATCGGAGATCAGATATATGTACCAAGGCCGCAATAATGAGCCAGTCGTCTATCCATAGGCTAATGTTCTTCATGCGACGGGCTAGAATGCGTAACCCAACGACGATTACTGCTAGAATCCAAGTGACTATCGAGGTCACCATGATGGAAGCCCTCCTGCTCTCGTCGAGATTGATCCCAGCGGGAGGCGGAGGAACTGTGGCCATGGTCGGTGGAATGCAGCGGCGTAGTCTCTGTTGGTTTTCGTGCTTGATCGAGAAAGGAGAGACTATAAGGGTGACGGCTCGGGGGCCGTGACTGGGAGAGAAAGAAAGGATAATCGGTTCAAAGACGAGCGCCCTTCTTCCATACCCTTTGATACAGTGAAACGGATGGCCTTGAAAGAACTGATTTTGACTGGGCTGTCTTCGATCGAAATAGTCCTCGTGATGTGCTCAAACCCCTAGAGCCCAATGTTGAACGTTTTGACTAGGTCAGAGCCGAGCCCACGAAACGAAAGGGCATAAAACGAGGCGCAAATGGACACCTCACGATGGGCCGTCTCCCGTCCAGCCTATAACGATTCCTCTCCGCGGGTCCGAGACCCTAAAAGCTCGCCGCCACCATGAAGAGAGAGAAAAAGCCCACCATGAGTATAGTTCGGTAGTTAAGAGGATTAGAGCCGTCGTCGGTCTCGCCATTGCTGACGCCGGCCTGCGCCATGCCCGAATTCATCACATCTCCCCACTCACAAGTGCCATATGTCAAATCCTGCAGTGACTGTCTTTGGGCTGATCAACATGGCCCTGAGCGAGTCCAGGGCGGCAGGTGAAGCCAGTGGCTAGTTTGCCGATCTCGAGTAAGGTGAAGCACATGTGGGAGACGATCTAGCTGCTCGAGATGCCTGACAGCCATGCACTAAGGATTAGGTCGGGCCTAGGTGGAATTGACATCGGCAGAGGGCCACTGGGGCTATTGGCATGGCTAGCAGGGAAGATGCTTGGCCTGTCAGTTCAGCTGTCTAGGGGGCGAAGATGTGGGAATGCGGATGCGTACGATGATTGGGAGTTTTGATGAAATGAACGGGCTCATTGTAGTTTTGTTGGTGCTTGTTGGAGAAATGTTGGCGATGGTTGGAATCTACGAGCACGTCCTTCCTCCTCCTTGTCAACAAAGCTTCACGTGATTCTTCATGGACAACATGGAAATCTACAATGTACCTATACAACAACTTCGATACAGGTATATCGTACATGTTGATATAAGCTGACCACCGACTACATTTATTTGACTGCCTACCAAGACGACGGTGTTCTTGGCATATCACCGAGGCGGGCTCTTTCGGGGATTGCTACTTCTTGGTATTAGCAAATACGTCTCCATGTCGAGCCACTTGGAGGTGAGCAAGCAGAATAGTCAAACAATAGCCAACGCCACTGAAAACTGTGATGGTAATCCGAAAAAAAATCAACTTTGCCGCAAGGTTAGCATGCGGACCCGACTCATGTGCTCCGTCCTCGTGTCCACTGCTGATCAACAGCTCCCTGTTTTTTTTGTGCGTCTTCACTGCCGTACCGAGGAACTACTCCACAAGGCAGAATGACTCTGGTTCCGTGGGGACAAAAAGAGCCGCGTGCAATGACCGATTCGTGCGGCCGACGATGCGGACGAGAGTCTAGTCAATATCCGACAAGATGAGCTTGCGGTGGTTCATATCAGGTGGGCGAATGAATGCTTGGTGCATCATCGCCCGCGAGTAATGAGAGACAGATATTTGGAGCGGTGATGGCCAAGCTCAACCGTTGGGCTAGCAACAGTGCCGGCCATCACCTCCATTGTTGGCAATCAGATTTGTCGATCTGATCCATTCGGGCTTTTGGATCGCTCCGCAACAACGGCAGTACATTAAATCAGCGATGAACCCGGCAATGACTTTCCCGATGCTGCCACATGGGCTCACATTTACGGCCTTCATTGACCGGACAAGGGTTTTGGTGAAATCATGCCCCGGTGGACCTTCATCAATCGGCCGATATGCGCATGCTGGCAGCTCAGAGCCCTACTGCCGATCAGATGAAATTCCCCGGATGGGTGGGATTCGACATGGAGAAGGACGCTATTTGTCAAGTGAGATCTGCGGTCATGCCGTATCAATGGGAAATCGATGTGACGACACAACAATATGGCCGTTATTGATGTCGATTAACCCGGCTTTTGTAGCTATCTGAGGATTGATGCAAGAACTCGTCTACATGGAGAGCCCGGATGGCTGTATACCATACCAGAGACGCCATCAAACCGGACTCCCCGGAGACTCTCTTGACTTGGACAGACTGCTCATCACCAGTACGAATAGATGACAGCATGGTTATGACCATTAGAATGCGCAATTACAAATTTATATCGAAATTTCAAAGCTCATGCCATGCATAGTCCAAGCAGATATGGCTATAATAAACCCCTTAACTCATCAAAACTTGATATCCAAGGCGCCTCTGTCAATGCTCCATCAAAATGGTAGTATCCAGAACATGGCTAAATAGATGGTCCCTTGGGAAAAAAATGCATTACGCCGTTTTCCATACAGGAATAGGGCCATTCCATGATCGTCTGAGAAATATCGCAACCTCATGACAGCTTCTTCTGCATCAGATCCGCCAGCTCATCCAGTAACTCCACAGTCTCTGCCGGGCTTGCGATCCATGCTGTGGTTCCCACGCTCCGCGCCTTGAAGTCGTTTGATCCGGCACTCAGAAACTGATCTCCCACGTGTAGTGTGTTTTCGCCCTTGATGGCCGTCAGAGCTGCATCGGCTCCGGTGGTTGCCCCATTGCGTCTTCCGAACCACTGCTGGCAGACAGTCACGCCCCAGCTCTTGTCACCAATGTCAACAAAGACATCACGGCCACCGTTGAAGGCGCAAAAGGGAACTCCGCGGCGGCCCTGAGGGCCCTGGCCGGCTTGTTGCGAAGGAGCACCAAGGGCGGTCAGTTCCAGGATACGCTGTACCACCAACACCGTCTCTTCCAGGCTCTCTCGTGCAATGCGCACCTCGGGAGGGTTGGGAACGATTCCCACGGCGCGATCCTTTCGAACTATGATGGCTGGTAGGTTCATCGTGCGGACACAGTCCCGAAGCGCTGACTCGGCAACATCTAGAAGGGCCGTGATTTCCGCCTCGGACCAGGCCGCCATGTCCGGGGTCAACCACTCTGGCCGCGGAACGGGCGCCAGCCGGTATGGTGAAGATGGCTCGTATTCGAAGAGATAGTTGGCCTCGCCACCCATGATGACAATGTTCTGCTTCTGTATAGGGTCAAGGTCTGCGGAGGTGGCAATGGCATCAAGTAAGCCATGGAGGCGACCGTAGTACCGGTCTGCGGTGGTATAGCCGGCGGCTGTCACAATGCCGATTTTGATGTTTTTGCGCAAGAGGTCTATAAAACACGTAAGCAATCTCGCTCATCATTATTCTTTACATATCCATAAACGGGATGAAGTGGCAAAAGCAACGATTGGTACGTTGGAAGAAGAGAATGCCATACCCAACAGGCGTGGAATGATGGGACTTGATGGCTCCAAGCTCTGTCCATCGTCATACAGCGTGACATCACCATCAAAAGTGGCTAGCTGAAGAGCGCCATTCGTCACGGCCATTATCTGGGCAGAGTTGAGGACCAGGCGCACATCGTTGAAAGAAGGGGCTACATATCGTCTTGACGACATGTATCGCTTCCGGTCCTGGTATTTGAACGCCGCCTCTAGGGGTAGCCGTGTGAAGAAGGGACCTGCAGTTGGCACCAGCATTCCAAGTTTGGAAGGGAGCACGCGGTCCTGGTTTTGGCGGGCGACTATTTCATGTTATTGAATCAGCATGGAAGATCCAGAGAGGAAAAGAAAAAGGATGGGGGTCTGTAATACTAACTGTGGTCATCAATCATCAGCTCGACATCTCTCATAATCTCTGCGTAGCGTCTGTGGGCCTCCTCGGCCATCTTGGCCACGTTGGTATCATCGCCAAACACTCCCGTCGGCTGGGAGTACAGCACAAATGGCACAGCCAAGAGGCCCTTTATCCATTCTAGCACAGCACCGGAAGCAATGTATTAGTTTATTGAATTGACCCAAAACCCTCCAGAATGGGCCCCTGGAATGTTTGCTATGACACGATCTCGCATGTCAAAGCCTCAGTACCAAAAGACCGGTAACCACAGCCATTGTCATTCGATAAGCAACATACCAATGAACTGATCCCGTCTATGGGTCTTGAGGGCGTCTAAAGTTTTTGTCAGTCAGTCTCTCTATATCCTCCCTTCCCCTCTCCAGCTTGGTGTAACAGAGGGCATTGAGGGGGTGAATTGGGCAGACTTACACTCAACACGGTACCGGGTCGTCATCGTTTACTCGGTTCGATGTTGCCAATTGGGCTCTATTTAGGGGGCGGACAGTCGGGCTCGGTTCAGCAGAATGAGAGGGAATCGGGGAGAATGGAGCAATATCAGAAGATGAAGCAGAAGAAGAGATGCAAAGGTGAGTTGAGTGACTGAAGGGAGCTCGACGGCACATGACATGTGGTGAGTCGTACAGATGGAACAGTTGGGTACCTACGATGCTCTGTGCTTTAGGTAATGGAATGGATAGCATCCTAAGCCTAAACCGGCCGCTGAGAGGGGCGTGGATGCGCTATCGTACCAATTAGAAGCCGCCCTGGAGCTTATCCGCGCTTCTAGTGGCCTACGGCGGGGGATGAGCCCGGTGAACAGTGGCTCTTGCGGTCGGAGCCCGCCGAAGCAGCTGCTGTGGATGGCTTATCAGTCGGGTGCCGATAACAGACTCGACCTCAAATAACCAACTTCAACACCCAGTCCAGTCCTCTTGATGGATGTGAATGTGAATGTGAATCTGAGCATGAATATGAATATAAATACTAATTTGCACATGCGATGCGCGCGAGGCATACATCTGTGTACCTATGTGTTTGCACTAACCTAATAGTACCCAGTACCAGAACGGAATACCGAGCGAGCTACCTACTACATACTTGATTGTGCCCTCCTCTCTGTATAATCAATCAGCAGCACATCAACACCCGTCTGCCAATGCCTTATGTGCTCTTTCGAAACGGCCGCAAATCACCAGCCTGCGCCTGAGTCACGGAATAATGATAAAAGTAAAAAATAAATTCCCCATCCAAATAATCTTTCCTCTTGCGCTACCGTGCAAATCACAGCAGCCATGTTGCCTTCCTTCTGCAAGACTTACCTTTCATTACGCCTGGGGGGTTTCGGCTGTCATCCTTTCATTCCTCCATCTTCGATAGTCCTCCCCTTTCATCAGCCGCTTTTGCATTGTCTAGGGTTCTTTTTTTTCCTCGTTTGCCTCTGCTGCCAGTTTTCTTGTGTTTTCTTTTCTTTTTTTTTCTTTCTTCTTTTTTTTTCATTTCCCACCTTCTTCCACTCTCGTATCAGTTCATGCCAGGGGAATATCATCAAGTTCATCTCCTCATAAACAGCAACGCTTGCTTGCCCGAGACACTGTGTTGTAATTGCATGAGTCCCCACAAAGCAGCATCCATACAAGATGTTCCTTCATCCAATGTTTCCCGTCCTATCAATCACAAATCGCCCGCTTTCAGTTGACGCCGCCATTAGCAGCGGCATGCGGAGCAATCATCTCAGCCTGCTGTGCTTGGAGTTGCGCCTGGGCCACCTCTTCTGCCTTGACAATAATGTCCTGGATGAGGCCTTGCTCCTCACCAGAGAGGTGGCTGGCGAGGTTCGCGTAAAATTGGGGTTGGTCTTGTTGCATCTCTATGAATTGGGCATCATTGGTTAGCAACAGGAAAAGGAGTGCATGCGCTAATGCATCATAACCACAGGGGTGGCAGGTCGTGACAGTCTACTCACTCAGCAGTGTTGCCCTGAAGAGCTGGTATGGCTCAATCTTGTCCAGCGGCGACTCGAGAAGAACGCTGTCTTCTCCGAGCTCCTCTTCCTCGTCGTCGTCAATCACGCGGCTGAACTTTTGTGCCTGGACGAAAGCTTAGCGTTAGCTGGTGCAGTACTCGGGGAGCGGTTCTGCTCAAGTGGGGGTTGGAAACTAACCTCCTCATTGAGGAACTCAAGATAGGCAGCACTCTCGTCCTTGGTCTCTGGAGACTCGTCGTCACCAGCAGAGCCAACTTCCTCGTCTCCATTCCAAGCCACATCTCTCTCGTCCCACTCATCTTCGTCGACGTAGTCATACCCGGCGTCTAGAGTGAAATCATCGCGCAGGGCATCCTCACGGTCTAGTTTCCAATGGTTAGCGTTAGAACGTACGGATTGGAGCAAAAAAAAGGGGGGGGAGCAGGAGGACATACTTCTCATGGCGCTAGGCAATGTTCGGAAGAGTTCCGTGATGCCCTGGAGCAGCCGTGGCCATCCGACAGAGATGCTGGCGGGGACTTGATCATGGTTGAGGCCGAGAAGGGCGGAGATGGCCACAATGCAGAGCTTCTTGTCATGAACCCTGCTGAAGGACGACATGCTGCCAAACCAGAGGCTGAAAAACCTATTCGTCCAGCCGTTGGTCTCCAGAACCTGCAGGGTGAGCATGGGGTTGTAGTGCACAGCGTTGATGACCATTTCCATCAGATGAATTTTGTAGCTCTTCACCTTGACCTCTTGGCCAGCCAGAATGTTCATGGCCATGTTGATGAAGCCCTCGACACAGCTGTCTATGCTGCCCCGAAGGCTCAGCATCATGGCCTCAGCCAACTTGCAGGCGCAAATTCGCTCAACACCTCCTTCTACAGTGTCGCTGAACATATCGGCCACCATGGAGTAGAGCGCCTGGACGTATTCCGGGTTCTGGACCAAGGCAGGCGCGCCGTACTGGACGAAGTTGTCCAGCGCTGGGAGCATATCCTCGAGATAGTATTCGGCTCCAGCCTTGAAGGTGGTATGGATGAGCTCAAATGCCTTCCACATGTTGGGAGAGATGCCCTTGGCGGCAAAGGTGCAGCTGTCAATGATTTCAAATGCTTCGTTGTAGAGGTCGTACAGCTTGTTCTCTAGTGTAATTTGAATCACAGGCATGAGGACCGCTTCAATGTGAAGGAGGACATCTGGGGTGCTCTCCAGCGTGAGGATCAAAGTTCCAATGGTCTGCAGCACACCGAGAGCAGTTATGCTCTTATCGTCATAATCATTGTACAGTTCACCATCGTCCCCGGCCTTGCTCTCCTTCTCAAGCAGCTCGCGCACAATGCGAAGATAGGTATCGCGAAGTTGCTCGCACAAGGCGACGGCGAAGGGAGTGAGCTCGGTAGCGAATACCTCGACGAAATCTTCCATCACGTTGGCCAAGGCATCGATATCGGCTTCGTTGGCCAGCTTCAGCAGCTGTTGCATGATCGTGGGAATGCTCTGCTGCATGCTTGTTCGGATAATTTCGTGTCGGATCAATGGCTGCAGCGCCAGGGCGGCAGTGACACGAACGGGGAGTGCCGGGTCTGCCATGCAGTCCAGAATGTTGCGATAGATGGTGAGCAGGTTATTCTGGTCCTGGAAGTTGAGCTGTTCAAACTTCTCGATGGTATCGCAAGCTCGGGCTCGGAGGTAGCCCAAGGGACTGGTGAAGTCTGGGAAGACGTATCGGACGAGGAAGTACTCGACCTGGTCGGCAATGGGGCTCTTCTTCCCCAGAATGACGGGAGCCAGGGTTCCAATCATCCGAAGAGCACCCTCCTTTGCAATGTGGTTCTTCTTGTCATCGGCAGATTGCTCATACTCGTTGACGACAGCGTTGACGAATTTGAGAATCTCGAAAACCTCCTTTCGGCGGTTCTTTGTAAGGTTGACCAGGAAATTTGTCGCTGCAACATCAGGAGCGGACGCCTCCTCAAAGTAGTTCAGTTTTCGGTGAAGGTACTCCTCTGGCTCCTCTTCGAACTGTTCGACGTCTTCCGGCGACAGGCAGAGAACCGGGAATACGAAGTGCGTAACGAGGTTAGTCAGGTGCGGCTTCAAGTGCACCCACATCTCCTTGGGCCGTACCGTCTCATCAAGGAACACTAGGATGTAGGACAGACAAGGTCGGCTAAGCCAAGAGGTCTTGGCCACCCATTTCTCGATCTCCTGTAGATAATGCTTCAAGATTTCAGGGGCAATGGTGTTGGTGAAGTTTTTCGCGAACTGAACAGCTCCATCTTGTTTACCCGGGCTCGTGGGGTTTCCATGTCTAGAATGGTAGCTGTCAGCCTGATTGTTGTTCATATATTTGCTTCGTCCCTCCACTACCAACTGGAGAGATCAAAGGGGAAGGGTTTTGTGAGCGTCAAATACCTAATGAAAAGACGGTTCAGGTTGAAATAAGCCCACTTCTTGGCCTTCCACCAGTGGTGTTTTTCTCGGTCGTTGACATCGCTCATCACAACGGCGGCAGGAAGAGCCTTTGAAACGGTTTGGAGGAAGACGGTGCACCAAGCGATGTTGACCTGGTCCTGTCGCAAGTACGGAGAGAGCTCGAGCTAGACGTGCAAGTATATTGTCAGCTCCGGAACTTGGGTTTGAACATGGGTCCGCTCTCTAGGAATGGGGAGGGAAGAGAGAGATAGCAGACGGGGGGGATTCATACCCAGGTGGCATGTTTGTACGCTTTGAGAGCCAGGTGCAGCATCTCGCTAGCCTCGTCGCTTTCTTGGTTCACCAGCTCATTGCAGATGGCCAAGAGTCGCGGAAAACTGGCTTCAACAATGTTGTCAAAGTGCTGTCGGTCCTGGCTTTCGTTGGACTTATATCGGAAAGCACGGCAGATGGCGAGGAGACACTGCAGACCAGCCAGCGCAGAGTTTGCATTATTGGTGTTTAACAGCTCCAAGGTGAATTCCAGGAATCGCGGCCACCGGCTGGGGAAATCACACTGCAGAATGCGCTGCAGAACGGGAATAAGCTGCTGGCGTACGAGCCCCTCGGAGGAAGCCAGGATGGGCACCAGACGGTCTCGGATCCGGACTTTCTCATCTTCGGCTATTGAGCTTTCGGAGGGAATGCCTTCGGCTTGGTACCAAGAGCGGTTTACTCGGTTCTTGATGTAGATGACGGCTGAAGAGACAATTGTTAGTCCTCAGTTTTACTTTCGTCTCCCCATGTTTCCCCTGTTCCCCTGTTTCTTCTCTTCTTCTCTTCGATTCGCCGTGATGTCTTGTCTTCGGAAAGGGCACAAAGGAGGGGCAGCGACGACGTACTGGCAAGGCGGACACTGGCGTCCTGCTCTGCTTCCAAGACATCGAGCAGGCAGATGAGGAAACCCGCATGATCCTCGACCTAAAGGCAACGAAACAGAAAAGCGCATTAGCATCAGAGACTCAACTAGAGCGTAAAAGCGACCCAAAAAAAAAACCTTGTGTCTATCCAGCCAGTACTTGAACGAGGGAAGCCTTCGCCCCTCGCTGCCTTCTTTTTTTTTTCCGCCGCTGTATTCACGCTCCGGATGGCGGGCGGTGGCTGTGGAGGGACACAAAAGATGGTTCTGGAAAACTCACCTGCTTCAGCTGCAGCTCAGCACGTCGCCTACTATCGGCGTTTGTGTCCAAGCTGGCCGCCAGCAAGGCCCTGACAGTTGCAAATTCCATATTCGAGGGTATCAGGAGGAGCGGACGACAACACAGAGGGGTGTTGTTGTCGTTGGCGCGGAGGAGAGTAGAAGAAAGGCGGGCTCAGCAGAACAACTTTTGGTGTTAGGTTGGGAGGACCCGATGGCGGGGCATCTATCCAGCACCAGCTGCCCACCCAATAGTAAAAATGAAAATGCAAAAAAAAAAAAAATTAGATCAGAAATAACCGTCGTGGCGATCCGCAGCGACGATGACGAGCAACGATCTGGAATTTCGGGTTCAAGCACACACAGGCCGTCGGAGGCTGGCGCAACGAGACGGGAGAAAGAATTTGGCCAGGCAGAAAGTGGCGGCACAAAGCGGTGATGAAAGATTGTTTGTTTGAGCCTTTTCACAATGACGGGAATTTAGCACCGTGCCACAGGTATTAGGTACGAAGCAGCAGCAGGCGGCCGGAACGTTTTTTTTTTTCAGAGGCCTTTGAGGCGATTGGGCGTGCTAGATGCAGCCGGTTAGGGGGCTAGCAGGCGCTAAAAAAAAATTGAAGTTCAGGGTCGCCAGTTCCAGGATAGACCGAGGAGGACGTTGCTACCAAGTGCGAGGAGTGGGAGGGATTGATGTAGATGAGTTCAGTTGGAGACGATGGCTTTTTCCTCTCTTGCCGCCAGCCAGAGCTTTCCCCTTGCTTATGGGAATTCACACCTCAGTACCTCTTCCTGCCTATCAGATACAGATACTTCCATTAGCTACCTACTGTAGGTATCAAGGTTGGTACAGCATGTAAGCACAGTACGGTATTTGTTACTGTACAGATACAACGACCCGTCTCTCCAAATTTGCAGTACCTACTAGGTACCTATGACTCTCATCTGGCGCCTGTTTTACTGGCCTTACATGTTTGTGGATCTTTCTCACGGCAAATGCAGTGCAAAAAAGCGTTTTGTATTCCATCAAATCTCTTGCTCCCTTGCCCTGCATTTCGGGTGCTCAGGTACTGGCATCCCACGCTGACACTCCGTACCCCGTACCTGGCTAAACGCTGGCGGTCATTACGATATGCAGTGTACCAGCTACTAGTGACGTAGGGCTGCGCATGTACATCCAAACGACTATAAAAGCAAGATATCGCCCATTCGTTATCACTACCAAGAGCCTAACAAGGTTTATCAGCAAGGTCTAGTCCCCAATGAGCGATGACAGGGGATATTTTTGGCCCAATGAGACGAGCTGGCAAAATGCCGGTGAAATTCCCGGCCGCAGTGTTTGTAGCTTATTGGCGCACTTTGGCGAGAACCTCGTTTGAAGCTGAATGAGGCAGGAACAGCCGGATGATCGCGGTGTCGGTTAGGAGGTCACCGCTTCAACCTGCCATTCTATGAGCAGGTGCCTGCTGGGAATTTATCACGTAGCTTTTTCAAACGAGGCTCTCACATCTTTCTCTTCCTATGAGCCCTTTTTGTGCATTCGTCGCCTTTCTAGCATTGCTTCAAGATGTCCTCTAGCCTCGTTATTCGCTACCATGGGCCCTTTTCCCTGTGCGCTTCTGCAGTGGAACATAATCTCGACGTGCCGATGCCGCGGCAACGTGCATGAATATCCAAACGCGCATCTCTGATCGTGTTCCAAGCAAACAAAGCTCCAAATCTCCAAATGCCATGTCCGTCACGATGCCTTCGTTGCCGTTGAGAAGCGCTGTCGCGAGACAACTGTGGGCTGAACTCGACAAGCTTCACTCAACTCTGTGATTTCCCAACCTGCAGTTAACGCGACTATCCATCCACTCTTCACGGCCAGTACGCCTTACGGGGTCCACTGTGTGATTCTCGCAACAGTCTGTCATGCCACAGCTGCCTGCTGGCACCAGCAAATTTGCTCTAGGTTAAAAGTGGAATGCTCTCTCCATTGCTCGCAGTAGATGATGCGAAACGTAAACTCTTGCTAACTAGCAGGAATAGATAATTCCGCGCGGCTGTCATTAGGATCCCATTACCGACCCTACATTCTGGTCAAGGGACAGATGTCTAACCACTGGTACTCAGCATGTCGGCAAATGTGATGGTATGTCACTGGTATACACCTTGACAGCTCGTGTAAAATGTTGCTCTCGGGAGTGAGATAAGAAGGTATCGGCGAGATCAGACAGCATCTGAAAAGTGTTCAACTTGCAGCATCTCCTCCAACAAGTTTCGTCATCCCGTGATGATGGTGAATCACAAAAACGACAAGTCCACAGGCGATGGCAAAGCAAACAAAGAATCTGCAAAGGCCATCAAGTGTTTGGAGCACCAAATGGACATGGCTAACGGTGAATGTAGGAAACCGGCAAACAATATACTCGCGACGATCGCCTCAGGGTGCACTACTTGACCAATTTACGCTTATATGAGGCTCAAAGGATTGGGCTATTTGCTTTGTGAGGCACCATGGGAGTCCGGACATGGAACGAAAGAAAAGGCAAATACGCTCCGGCGTTCATTGGTCTCGGTCAGAGATTGACAAGTGCGTTTTCTTGCACTTTGCATGCAAGGCGTTCCCGGCTCCGTCAGTCCCTGAGGTGATAAAGTCCCAGACGGCTCCATGTGGTCATTTTCATGTCTCGAAGTGAAACAAGCAGCAGTCAAAAATGAAGCAACGCGACAAAACAAAAAAACGAGAAGAGTGGCAATGATGATCCTTTCAACAGGTTATGGCTAATATATACAAACCATGAGGCTCACCTTGCTGCCCTGGAGTCCGGCTTTGCTACTCTATTAAATGGCATGATCGAGACAACCAGCTTTGGCTAAGAATGCTCAGCGATCGCCAATGAAAACCGAGTCCAGACAAACACAAATAACTCCGCCCATGGCCAGTCCGGGGCAGCAAGATTTCAAGACAGTCCACCACCCAAGAAGCATTCGTAGTTCCGCTTCTCTTTTCCCACCTTGCGCCAGGAGCGAGTGCTATCAAACATATGCAGGCGTTATTCATCCAAGGCTATCATTGTAGCCGGCAACAAGCTCAGTTATTTGACCCGTCCCACACAGAAACAAATGCATTTTGTCAAAAGCTTCGGAAAAAAAAAAAGGCATGACTTGTGAAGTGCAAATTCAGGGGTTCCGAATAAAAGAAAAGAGAAGAAGACGTGAAGATGGCGCGCATAAAAAACATCAAACTTGGCGCATCTCCTGGTAATTATCGGTCCAAGGTCCGGAAAGGCTGAGAGAGAGAGAGAGAGAAAAGAAAAGAAGGGCCATCCAGTCTAGAATTTTGTCCTGTGGTCTTCGATCTTCTTCTGTGCAAAGTCCATGAGAGCCCTACCGGTGCCTGCCTGGGAGTTTTCATCTAAATGATAGAAAGGGGAGAGCAAGGACATTCAAATCCATGGGGGGCCGGGTTGAGCTCTGACGATGGAATTATATCAGAAGAGTCAGCCCACGCCTCGCAGTGGCGTGTCACAAGCATTTCCCTCTCCCTTATCGGCGAGGTGGTGGTGGTCGGTGGTTCCTGTCGCCGCCTTCCCGGTCACTCAGACGAGTACTTGATTCCCGAGGTGGTGTCTGTGTTTCTGCGGGGGGAACGGAGGTGCGAGTTGGAGGGGGGGTTTCATCATATGCATGTCCCTGTGCGGCATACGCTTGCGGCTGCTGAGAGGTTTGGCCTGCTGGGGAAGCTACAAAATCAGACGAGCGCATTCATATTGGATGTAGGCTTGGGGTGGTTTTTGTTGGGAGACGCACCTCGGCCGAAGAAGGGGTCCTGGGGTTGCGCAGCATAGACTGGAGCGCCCGAAGGAGCCTGGTTGGGATATGGGTAGCTTGGGGCGGGATATCCTGGCTGGACAGGCTGGTTTGAGGCATATACGGGCTGTTGAGGTGCTGGGACAGACGGTCCAGGGTGGCCACCGGCATAAGGATCATTGGGATAGTTCCTGGGAGGCATGTTGGCTCCGGTTGAAACATACGGGCCATCCGGATTCTGGTATCCCTGGTTCATCATGGGGCCGCCTTGAGGATTTCCGACGTATCTGGTGTCAGAGGGTCCAGGGGATTGCTGAGGCTGCTGAAAGCCGGCGTTGCCGTTGCCGCCGTACGCACCGCCACTGGGAGGAGCGTAGCCCTGCTGCTGCTGTTGAGGCTGATACGGGCCGGAGGCACCATTATATCCTTGGGCACCAGTTCCTGGATACCTTGGGGCGTCATAAAGACCATCACGAGGATAGGAATCATCTCGGAAAGGTGGTTCAGTTGGGCCATGGTGCTGCCGAGACTGGTGCGTCTCAGAGTAGCGATATTGGACTGTAGGCGAGTTAGATCTCGGTCTAGGGGCACCGTAAGTGGCATCTCTCGAGGCGATGATACCTCCGCTGCTGTTGCGCGCGGTCTGCGCGCGGCGTTCCCTATCCCATCGAGCCGAGTCGGCCTTGAGATCCTCGATCATGGCCTGCGAATTAGGGGGTATCAAGTTTAGTAACGGGGCCCGGAAACACAGACAATAAAAAGTCGTCGATATGGCCGAGAGGGGAGCGGCAAAAGAAAGATGCAAAACTCACGGTCGTCAGGTTACGATAAGCCGTAATATAATAACCTTGGACGGGTTGACCAGTCTGTGGGTTCTGAAAGGGGGGAACAATCGTTAGCGACCAGTCAAGTCGAGATGCATTTGCTCGAGTTGACTGTTTGTCAGAGTCGGCGTTGCTGAAAATGGCATACCTCATAATGGCCAGGTCGCACCAAAGCATCATTGCCCAGGTAGCGGCAGATATCAGCAGAGATGACTTCACGATCGATGCCATCACGGGGCACGAAATACTCATTCATGCGAGTCGTGGGTCGCGACATGATGGGCAACAGCGAACGGAATTGACTTGGGGAAGCAACGGAATACAGATGCAATGCAACGAGAGACGCCAGGGAGAGACGGAGAGACGGAGAGACGGAGAGAGGAGAGGAGAGGAGAGGAGCGAGAGAGGGAGGGAGGAAGAGGGAAAGAGAAAAGAGGGAACCCCCAAGGCAGAACTGGCTGCTAAATGAAGAGGCGGGAAAACAGCAAATCCAAGGACGACAGATGGAGGAATGGAAGCCGCAGAGAAAGTGTGGGCAAGGGGCAGGCTGCAGCCAAGCAGAAAAGAGTCGTATTGCCGTGAGGGAAGAGGAGAGAAATGGAAAAAAAGCGACAGCACCAGCTCGACTGGACTTGAAGAGAAAAAAGGCGGATGATCTGGTGTGAATGGTGGGGTGGGGCAATGAGGAGCATCGAGACACTGGTGACCTCCCAGAATGCTGCCGACTGTTGCAAGGTCTTCGTTGGCTGCAGAGCTTGGCTCCAGATCCGCTGGCCCTTTTTTTCTCTCTCTCTCTCTTTTTCTACACCCCTGCTTCCCTGCTTGCTGCACTCCTGCTTGTCTGCACTCCGGCACCCTGTTCAGTCAGTCAGACGGTTTCAGTGGCTGTGGCGACAGCGAATGCGACCACCGCAGCAGTGCAGCAGCGCAGGTGCAGTGCTGATTGATTTGACGGACGAGCAGTGGATGGTGGATGGCGGATTGTGATGGGCTGCCTGGATGGGATGGGATGGGATGGGATGGGATGGCCTAGGCTGGCCTGACCTGACCTGTGGCCACCTCCGTGAGATGGAGGGGGCAATTGGATGGATTGGATGGGTTGACAGACCAGAGAATAGGATAGGACAGGATATGAGGTGGAATGGAGATGGAGCATCCTGCTGACTGGAGAGAGAGAGAGTCACGGCAAGGCAAATGCACGGAGTACAGGACAGGACAGGACAGGACAGGACAGGACAGGACGCAACGCAACGCCCTCCTCACGACGCTCTGCTCTGCTTCCTCGGCACCAGCTACGGAGTACGAGTATCAGTACATACTGCTTCGACCTGTCTCACACGCTTCCAGGATACCAGCCGCCAGTGTTAGTTGGGCTCGCCTCACTCCCCAAGAATAAGCCGGCCACTCTACATACCTTGTTATTGCTATGACTACCTACGAGTATTACCTCTTGCTGCCACGAGTACGAGTACAAACTACTACTCGTATGTACTAGCAGTAGCGGCACAGCTAAAAGGGCACCTACGGAGTGGAAAGGGACCTTGCTTAAGTGGTGCCTATCCGAGTCCACACAAGCATGCAAGCTTGGGGACTTATTGGCGGCTTGTCAAGGTGATTTGATGGAGACGAGGATGAGCCAGTCCCGAGCCCAAACTTCGCCTCGCTTCGCCTCGCCGGGACGTCGACGTTGGGCTTCGCTGCACGTCGCTGCAACGGGCATGGAGGGGGGCGCGTCAAACGCCGCCGAATGGCCTGACGGGCCTGGGAATGGGCCGCCCATTGGAGCTTGTGTTTGGGCGAAGCGGTTTCTGACACCGAAGTGCTGATGATGCTATGTACGCCGTCGTACCGGTTCAGGTACTCCGTACTTTAGCACATGCTATCCGCCGTGAGATATGCACAGTCGCGCATCTCTTTTTCTTTTTCCTTTTTTATTTTATCTTCTTCATTTTTGCCTTTTTTTTTTCTTTTCTTTTCTCATCTGCCGCCTCTGCCTCCCCTCCGTACCCACAATGTCTCACTTTTTGTCGGGACGTTTTTTTTTTTGTCTCGCGTCTTCCCTTCCAGACTCTCTTCTCTTCTTGCTCCTTTCCCTTTTCGGTGATTTCCCGATACCGACTAGCAGAAATGACTAACAACCGAACCGACGGCAAGGCTCGCCTTTCTTTTCTCGCGCCAACGTCGACCCTAGCCGATGGTTCCTGATGCATGGGCATGAACTGCGTTATCTCTGCTCGTGCTTGTTTTGAGAGGTCTACGAGTACAGTACGGTCTGGTCTCGGACCTTATTCTCTCGCGATTCGGCTTCGTGCTTGTTGATTCGCCATCTGCGTATAGTCATGTTGCAGTGCGTGAGAGCAGTTCCTATCGAAGCGCTCTGCGATATTGCGTGCGTGCCTGCGTGTCTGCAAGCCTGCGTCCGAATGTGCATGTAAGTACGGCGCATGCCGTATGAAGATGCGTATATAACTAGACCACGTTGGAGAGGGTCAGATTGCAGCTCGACACGGATTGGCAGAGCGACTTGTTCCTACAGCAGACGGAGCTTTTTTTTCCTTTTCTTTCTCTCTCAGACAATCATGGGGCGCTGCAGGACAAGATCGAGCGGGGATATTGACCCCATAGATGCCATTGGTGATGACACTATGCGGTTATCTTTTTTTTCCCGCGTCGGAGCCCGAGTTGGAGCTGTGGCGATCAAGCTGTCCAACGTATGGATTCGGTCGATCCCTGACAACCAGAGCCGATGCTCTAAGGGAACGGAAAACACATCAGTGCATGTCTTCTTGCCACTCTTAGCTTTGGGTCACGGCGGCGACCTCATGATGAGTGATCTTACGATCAGGCAGATATCCGTGGATCGAACAAAAGCAGGTTTAAGAGCCGGACAGTGCGCGGAGAGACAAAGGAGGAAGAGCAGACACCCGACATTTCTCTCATCCCGATTAGGAATGAGATGCACCACGCGCAGCCTTTTGGCTTAAGAACGCCTTCCATTGGATTACCTACGTGAAGAGCATTCATTCAATGTCGGTCTTGACTTTGCCAGCCAACCAACTTCGCTTAGAAATTTAGCGTTGTCCGTTGCACATACTCACTCTTACGCAGGTAGTTCCGAATGCAGGCCGAAGCTCTCCCTCGGATCCATCAAGGCGTGGTGGTTGCCTTCATCCATCTTTGAGGTTTGGATGAGCCAGTTTATGAGGCAACACCTGTGTCGGCTCCAACCGCGGTACATCGTACTCGTAAATACACGCACGCACCGGCGATTCACGAAAAACTCGACTGTACTCGTACATACCGGTATTGATTATTACCTCAGCGAGATGAGGGGCGCAAAGGTCTGCCTAGTCGGGTATCAATGCTTATGGTTAATTGGAGCCCAACTGTCGACAACAGGTTAATGCAACTAGCGTCACCAGTCCACTCGAGCCAATCGTTGGCATCATCACACATCATTGCCACTGATGCTATTGGGACAATGTTATGCGATATTGGAATGTGCTTTTCAATATTGTGACTGCGTGATGCAGCCGACTCTACCGGCCCGGCACCCGTCGCTCTCCCCACCTTTGCCTACGAGTATGCTGCTGTCATCATCTTGTGCACTGTGCCGCTTGTACTTGTATTATGACGAGTATGTTGGGCTACAGTATGAGGTAAAACAGTGATGACTGAGCTCGCTCAAAGGAGCTCACTTGGGATCGTGTCTGCCCAAAAGAGTAGGGGAACAGGCGACCACACACGGGAAACCCCCATCAGGGGAGGGAAAAAGAAATGAGGCTGAAAGATTGCTTCATCAGCATCCAACGCCTATGTACCTCCGTTTGCTCACTCCCGCTTGAGGCATCCAGCCTAATCCAGCCGGACTAATATGATGACTCGCCGCGATACGCACCAATGTGCGATCAATAGACATTGAACCTGAGTGTTGTCAAGCCTTGGTAAAGATGGTGCGGAGCTCAAGACGAGCGGAGCGGTGCCCGACTATCCAAGCCCAGCGGATGAAGGAAGAAAGCCAGGGCTGCAGTGGAGTGGTTTTTCTTTCCCTTTCTTTTTTCGTTTGGCGTCGTGACTTGTTGATCATGCGAGAAAACCGGTATAGTTTGATCGGTGTCGAGCCGGCCCCTTGCTCCCCGAAAGCTCTGCCTAAGAAAACCATCGTGCCGCGGATGAAGCCTCTGGGCTCCGTCTGCTACCCATGTGGTTTTTCACCCAAACGTGAGCCTACTTTGCCCTTGCTCAAGCTTTGAGCCTCCCCGCCCGCGTTTAGAAGCAGGGCCAGAGCTCTTTGGTGTATGGCCTCGGGAAGCGGCTGGCTGCCCAGCAAATGTGGGCTTGAGACGTTCACCGTCCTGGATGTCTTTGGCGAAATGCCAGTCTTGGTGGCTTTGGAATGACATGTCGTCGCCAAAGCTAGCTCTGCATCTAGGGCAGGTTAGGCCTGTGAAATGGACTGAATCCCCTGACCCTGGTGTCTCGTGACTGAATATCTCCGAGCCATTCGTTTCTTGATCGAGCTGGGGAAAGCTGGCGCCGTTGGGCTGTGGCCGGTTGGCGTCGAGGCTCTCCTTGACATGGAACGAATCTCGGTCACCAGCAGGTCGCTTATGGAAAAATCGCTGGATGCTAGGTTTATCAAGCCGGGGCTTCTTGCTCTGTTGTTCCGTAGACGAACTTTCAGGCACGGTATCAAAAGAACGCAGCGGAGGCGTTTCATCCCTCTTCTTGAAAAAGGCACCAATGCCCATGTTGTTTTTGACGCCTTCCTCGAATCCGCCAACACTCAGGCTCAAGTTGGAACAGGGCCAGACGTCTCCTTCGGCGATGATCTGGTGTAGCAGCTCCTCGGCAAGGGCGAAGAGGGCTTGCTCATCCAGAGCCTTGCCTGATGAGATGGAGCTTGACTTGCTTCGCGTCTGGCCGGCGTGGCGATGGTGAAGATTGATTGTGCGCGGCCACCGCTTGTGCTCCAGTATGCCTTCTTCAACCAGGCGGGAATAGATGTCGCCCGCAAAAATCCTGAGCCACTTGGTTGCCTGTTCGGGAGCCTTGATGGAGGGCCGGAATGACTTGGCCGAGAGCATAGATTTGATTTGAGTCCGCGAGTTCACCTCGCTGTGGTCGGTTCCCCTGATGGTGTTGTAGAGCCAAACGGCGGTTTCTTCGCCGAGTCTCGCCTTGAACTGGCCCAACGGGATATCGCGCAGCTCCTTGACGCTTTCCGTGCCAAACGTAGAAACAACTTGATCCCCTAGCTTGCCGCCGAGGTTCCGCATCTTGGTGACTTTGATGGCCGTCAGGAATGGCAGCACCGCTCGGCTGCGTACAACTGTTTGAGCGTTGGGCTTCTTGAAGGCCGAGCCTAGCTTGCTGATCAGCTTGTTATTCGCTATGCCTGCAGAACAGGTATATCCCAGCTTTCCACGTATTTGTGCGCGAACATGGCGAATAATCTCAGAGCCCATCAGTACGACTACGTCATCCCAGTCTGGATCGAGGGCTTCTTGGTCCTCCTCAAGAGTAACGAGGTTGTCGTCCCGCCAGTCGAGCGCAGCAGCAGACGGAAAAGGGAGACTTTCAGCCGCATCGCCGGATGGAGGCGGATTTGAAAGCTCTGGAAAGCGGCGCAGCAGTTCCGAGTGGATGTGAGCCGAGAGGTCCAGGAAAACTTCGTCGATGCTTGCCTTTTCAACTCTTTGAAGGTCTGTTGGCAGGGAGTCCTTGATGAGGGCGAGAATTTTCCTGGATTGCAAGCGATAGGGGTCGAGAGACACCTTGTCGGTAGCAATATTTGCAGCTGCATCGTCTCGATACGCCCACTTGTCATCGCCTTCTCTCCAGGTGGCGACGTGCTGGGCAATCAATTCCGGGCACAGTTTCTTGGCCTCGGCGATGTTGCAGTGGCGTCCAATCTCCCACTTCCTTGCGGGATAGTTGACGGCAATGAGACCTTGCCTAGGTGGAGATTCATACACTTGTCAGATACTTGACGTGTCCAGTGAGTGAGTTGGAGGACATGTTTACCACTGCTGCACGGCGAGGGGCTTGTCCTCCGGGACACCGAGTCGAATCATCTCGCACTGTGCATAGAACGCGTCGAGGTCTATGTGGGCAACAACACGCAGAGGAGTGGATGTGCTATAAGTCGCCATCTGGGCAAGCTGCCGATATGTGAAGCGTGAACGGCGGGCATGACGCAACGGCGAAGATGCGCCGCTGCCGGGCGATGACGATGGCATGGGGCAGCGACCAAGAGAGCGGCGATGCTGAAGAAGAAGAAGAAGAAGAAGAAGAAGAAGAAGAAGAAGAAGAAGAAGAAGAAGAAGAAGATTGATGGGATGGATTCATTGAAGTGTGGAATTGGGGCCGAGATGCATCAACACGTGGATGGTGGTGGTTTCATCTACCCAAGCCGATGCTCATACGCGATGTCAAAGTCGGAGTTTCCAGTCCCCTTGAATCGGGATTGCGGAGCGGCCCACAATAAAGACTGTTATGCAAGACATCTCATCTGCCTAAGCTCGGCACCACTTACGGGGTACACTGGAACAGAGCAGACAGCAGAGCCGGATACACGTACTACTCGAATACTCTGCTGGAATCAATCATCAAATGCGCAATACTAATACTCTGTTGGATCAACTAGTTGGGCACTGGATCTTTGAGATTCCATCCACGAATCCTGTCAACAATTAAAGCTACACAAAAGCCACACCAATTCACATCCTTCCCGTCCTTGGCTTCTCCATCTCTCTCTCACGATGCTGCATAACCAGGCATAAATTGGCTACGGGAAGCCGAGTTGTATTCCGAAACTGTTTTCAACCGTTAATAATCCTCATCAGAGGCGGCGGATGACGAATCCTTGCCCTTTATCTGCATCGTCTCGTCATAGTCCTCAAGCTGATGCACCGCAGTGGCGAGCTGCTCCCTCAACTCTTCGGCCTCGTTCTCCTTGGCAGCAACGTGATCTTGCAGCTCTGCTCTTAGGCGCAGCCTCTTCTCATATGTGATGATTTGCCTGTCGATTTCCAACCGCTGGTTCCTTAGTGTGTCGATCTGCTCGTGTATGATCTGAAGCTGTTCCTCGGTCCGCTCGATGGCTCTTACCAGCTTTTCTCTGGAACCGACACGGAGGTGCATCATGTGCTCGTACATGACTCTTTTTTTTTTTTTCTTTTTCGAACGGCAGACGCTATTAGACAAGATGCTTCTATCTCAGATTCGGCTTTGCTTTGCTCAGACCGCCAGGTTAGCCATAGCCGTTGAACACATTCTGAGTCAATCAACAACTCACAAGATCTTGTGCCAATCTAGAGCAAGCTCGGGCCAAAGAACAGGCTGCCAAAAACACCAGTGCTCTTTCAAACAACGGTCTGCTTCCGCCCCCAAGCTGTTGGGGTACACAAGGATCGTCTTTGCGGGAACCCAATCCAGAAAGGAAGGTGACTGCGTTTTGGGTGTGGTTTTTTTTTTCTTATATGGCGGATGGGAAGAGAGGAGTGCTCGCTTTCTACCCCCTTGCCGAAGCGTTGATCTGAGAATCACTATCCGACTGACACGTCTCACGCCTCGCCAGCTGCGCCCTCGCCATCCTAATGCTTAATTGGCTGGTGGCGACGCGAAAAAAAAAAAAGAAAAGAAAAGAAAGGCCAAGGAGGTATTCGCTGTTAAGGGCGTAACGCAATGAAGAGGCGTCCGCCATATTCTCTCAGCTGCAATGATAACTGCCAGTACTTTGCCTACCATCGCATCTTTCAGTGAAAAACGCCAAACCCCTCCCTTGCCACGGCGTGCATGCACGATGGACAGGGATGCTGGGGGGAGAGGACGAATCAGAGAAGGGTCGTTTACAGCAATGCATGAGAGACATATTAGCAAGCCCGGCGCAGCTATGAGGCGATATCATGAAAGGGCCTTGTCTAGGCTGAACCGTCATTGGCCTCTGCAGACGATGCTTGTTCAAGGGCGACGGTTAGTCTATTCCTCCCTGGATTGACGTGGGAGAGTCACAGCGGCCCAGGAGGGAGAAACGTTGAAGGCTGCAATTTAAAACTGCTCGGCGGTTTGGGCATCATGAATGGGCTGAACTGCCCAGGTGCAAATCGCACTTCTTCTTCTTCTTCTTTCTTACAACAGAACGGAACGTCACAATTACCAGACCCCAACACGCATGTGATTGTACCTATGCAGGGCGGTAGTAGCAGCAGTAGCAGCAGCAGCATGCACGCCAAAGATGTGTCTGCTTCTCTTTGGAGGAAGCATGACCAGCGTAAGAGATTGACCGCTCGTAAAGCGATATTGTACCAAGGAATTATTCTGCTATTGAGCATACATCGCTGTTGAGCACACATCGCTGTTGGCTGCATCGCGTCACCCGTTTACAGTGTGTTTCCTGCTCCGCATACAAACATTTACATGCGTTTTCCCATCCAGCCCAGCCAATTAGATATGTTCTAGTAAGTAAAGAATCCCCGCGATGCCCTTGCCCGAATGTCTTCATAAATTATGTACATGTATTTGTACGAAAGAGGGCCGGTTTGCACAAAAGGGCCCCATGTCTATGCCCGTCATAGTAACAACACCAATATGTGAAAACAAGAAAACAAAAAAAAAAAAAAAAAAAGGATAAGGAGAGAGGGAGAAGGAGGAGGGGCAAAATGCGCGTGCCAAAAAGAGAATTTAAACAGCGCCCAAGGAATAGATACAAGACAAAATAGAAACAGTAGCCCGGGGGGGATGAATGGTGGTGTAGAGTAGTATGAGAATGAATGGTGAAGAGTTATTACTCGGCTTATCAACCAGTGGATCAATCAATCAATGAATCAATCACTGGCCCGTCGACCGCCTCTCTCCTGTAATTCGATGCCATGCCCGCCGCGGGAAGAGGAGGCTTCGAGCTCGGGAATTCCGTAGCGCTTTCTTAGTTTTGAGATGAGAGGGCCGAACCTGTAGTCGCTCTCCATGCTTTCATGAGTACAGCATGGCGAGTGTCGGATAGGAAGCATCCACTCGACAAAGTTGTCTCCCATGACGGACTTCCAGTTTTCCATGGCTCCCAGATCCCAGGGGTTTTCGTGCGGCTTCGTGCGGAGGATGGCAAACTTGCGCTCCGCCAGCTGATCTCTAGCCGAGATGGGCCCATGGCTATTATGCGGCTGCTGGCCTTCGGATCCCGGCCGCCGCGGTGGTCCACGAAGAGGGTATACAATGACGGGATACTTGTCCGAGGGCGGGGTGGACTGGGGGATGCGGACAGCCAGGGTGAGCGTATGCGACCTCTTAAGCATATCGATGTTGGTGGTGTTTGCGAAAATGTAGCGAAACGAAGTGAGCGCCATGCCAAAGGTAAAGGTGCCGAAGACGCAGGCCAAAACGATTGTTGCGAGGGCCCATCCATCAAGGGGGTCTCCGTCTTTGTGGTGTTGCTGGAAGGAATATGCTCCGACGGCGAGGCCCACGGCGCAAAACAGGCCGCAGTAGAAGCAAAACTGCGTAAAGAAGTTGAAGGCTACATTTCCCACAAAGGACGGAACGCTGTCAACTCTCTGAATCTTGTCATAACCATGCACACAGAACAAGAACTTGTTGCTGTCCAAGGGGAAATGTATATATATATATATATATATCACTTACAAGTCTCAGAGACCATGCCACCAACCCAGGGGCAGAAATGGTCCATCTTCCTGACGCAGCGGCCTAGGTCGCTCGAGTGATGCGAACGATCTGGCTTCCACTGCTGACACTCTGAGCACCACTTAGGCCGGCCGTCGACCTCGCATATGAAGACATCCTTGCTGTAGAAGGCCTCGAGCCCGGGACTGTCCGGGTTTGGGTCCGGAGGTACGTATGCCCTCTCCTCGACGTCTCGGTTGCGTTTGTGTCGCTTTCGTACTTTTTCGGCCGCTTCGCGCTCGCCCTGGTCCTCGGGGGCCAGAGGGACGACGCCCGGGTTTAGTTGGACTGTAAAGAAGGTTCGTAGATAGGCGACGGCCATCAACATGAAGAAGAGGAAGTAGAGGACGAGGAACGTCGTGACAACGCCATCTTGGTGTTTCTTTTTGTAGAGGAAGCTGACTAGATGGAACGAGAATTTCAGGTTAGACGAGGAATGATGCAGACATCGTTTAGGAGAGGGAGAGGGAGAGGGCCGAGTTTACTGCAGAGGCGAGCGACGACGGCGTAAGTCGCAACGGCTAGAATGCCGACGATGAACAAGGGAATGATGCGCACTGCCCATCGCGTTTCCGAGCGACTGCTGTGATGCGAACGCGACATGGCGGCATCGTGACCGCAGCCCTTCTTCTGCCCTTCTCTGCACTGCTTCTGCTCTGCTTTGGCTCTGCTTTGGCTGGTGTTTCGGGTATGAAACTGGCAAAGAAAGATGGGATGATTGTTTGCAATCTTACTTGGCCATGATCCTGGTAACGGGAGATGGCCAATCGATGGCTAATCGCACTGTACACTTACGTGGTTGGTGGGTGGCGGTGCACAGTGCTAGCGGTTGACGTCATGTCGTCACCCATGCCTGCCTTCCTCGCTAAGCTCGGGGCAGCTCATTTAAACTTGCAGCGCTAAAAGAAAGGCCTGCAGTGGGAAATCCTGGCACAAACCACCAAGATTCTGCCTCTTACCAACACTCCAGCTAACTAAGCTAGCTCCCGTCTTATACGATACTTGTACATGCTCTGTCCTCAACTTCATCAAACGATATCGCGATACTCGTGCTACAAGAATTGCAATGTCGCGATACCTCTTTCTTTTTTTTCTCTACATCATCCCACCTCTTTGCCCTTGCAGCCTTGCTTGTCCTATCAATTTATTCCATCCCCACCCCCACACACTCTGCAGCCCATTCGATGGAAAATGCGGCTCTGCACAAGGCTTCAAGGCTGTTTTCGGCCGGGAAATGCCCCAACCAGACAGCATGCCAACACCCTCGAATTCCTCCTTCACTCAGCCGGATGCAGCCACGTACTATTTGGGAGTTAATTTCTTTTCTTCTTCTTTTTTTTTTTTCATCCCGCCTAAGAATGCAACAATCCATTCAATCCAGCCCATGTTGCCACGCAGGCAGGCTTCAAAACTGAGGCTTCCTGCTGAGGTTGCATCATGAGGCTCTCCCACCTCTCGTGACAGTTGTAGCTGAAGAGCTGCTCGCAATCTGCTTGCTATATAAATACCCACCTACGTCTGCATAGAGTCGCTCATTTTCTATTTTTTATTTTTGATTTTGTATTCTCTCGCGACTGCAGCTCCTGCTTCTGTGTGAGTACACGGGTCAGCTTGGAGTTGTCACGCTTGCGCAAGTCTTCAGTAGATGAGTATGATACCAAGTCCCATATAAGACGCATCGCTCATACTCCTCCAGAGACTCAAAAGAGAAAACTCCTCCTTGTCGAATTCTCTCAAACGTTGATGGTATCTCTCCTTCACGAGCCGCAATACAGGGGTGACAAGATGGCTGTCTTCCTACAAAGAGAGCGTTTTCAAGTGTAAACACATCACGCAGATGAAGGAATAAAAGAAGAGAGAGAGAGAAACAGAAAGCATAGGGGCAGAAAGACAGACTCCGATCCCTCACAAGGCAAAGAGCAGCAACTCAGCTGCCTTGCTGGGGTAAACTCCAAGTGATCCGAGCTCACGCAGCCGTGTTCGCTCGGGATAGCATCGGTCACAACTTGGAAGTCGAATGGGCGCACCAAATGTCTCGCCGAGAGTAACCAGTCCACACACAAGACTTTCCTGCTTTTCCTCAAGCCAATAGAAGCATCATTGGAGTGGAATGCATAATCGTCTCTTCACCTGACGCTACCTCCCTGCAAGGCTTCCTGGGATATAGGGCAAGGCGAGCAGCTGCGCCATCCGCCTTTTCGAGAGTTTCAGTGTTTTAGTGGCTCCAAACAAGACTACTACGTCTCCGCTACATATTTCGCTCTTCGTCCTCTTAGGATTCGGTCGCAGAATTCCCCATCCTGAACGTTCCTCGCCAGTCAAGATGGTAGCGTTAATACATTTCCCACCGGCCAGCTACCGGATGCTCACCAACTGGAGGGCTTGCAGACCGAAGCTATCAACGCCAGCCATCATGTTTCCGAGCTTTCGCCTGCCTTCTTGCCTTATCACGCCGCTGCGCTCTTGCGCCTTTGCGCTCTTGCGTCAAAATGAAAGTTTAAGGCAAGCTTTCAGGTATAAGAAGGGGGGAAGCTCTCCTGTCCATGCTCTGCTCATCAGCTCACAACGTCCGGGACATCGAACACCTAAAAAAAAAAGCCATCTTTTCACTTCTAATATCTTCACTTCATCCAACGGCCAGTTTTCTTGCATCATCTTTTATTTCACCCCCCTGGTCTCGAGTCACCTCTTGGACCGCAGTTGAAACGAGCCAAGCTTTTAGTTAGCCATCAAAGACAGGAACCATGGGTCTTGTTGTCTATACCTGGCAGTGCTGCCAATGCGGAATGGGTGGAATGCTCAAGGAAACAACCCCTCAGTGTACCGAGCATAACTGTCAACATGCCCGCTGCAAAGATTGCGTTGTCTACACAGACTCGGTCGGCCCTGCTAGGCCTTTAAAATGATCCTGCTTCAACGTTCATTCTTTGACTCCTGGAGGCCACAACTGAAAATTGCCATGGCGTTCATGTTGAAAAAAGTCCACACCGGCTCCCTTTTTTAATGCTATTTTTTTTCTTTGCTTTTTGCTTTTTGCTATTGGGGGAGAGGGGGGAGGAGCCGCCAACATTAATTGCAAGCTCGATACCTCGCATCGGTCTCCGTCTACATACAGCTCTGCAGTAGCATCCCAAAACTCCCACGACAGGGATTTCTGCAAGGCCACAAAATATTTTGGAGCGAGGCTTGGAGCTTGTTATGCCTGGTTGGAGAGGGCCACACACACGATTGCGAGAGGATGCCGGCTTCTCCTATGTTCGATGGACAGGATGGGGGTTTTTTGTTATTTGGACTGGACTTTTGGTTGGATGATTTCGTTTAGTTAGCCCTTGGAAATTTTAACTCCACGTTGAGCAGCTTTTTTTGCTCGCTCATATCAACATATGGCGTCCTTTGCCGCGAGCCTTGGTGAATGCAGCTCTCCCAGAGCGACGTGACTCGACATGCCATCTCACCAACGCAATCATCTTTCCACAGCCATAATCGAGTTCTCACTTGCAAAGCTCCGTAAGCAAGCCCTGATTCTCCTGCACGAAAGGAGGTCTCCAGCCTCCACATGTTGAGGCTCAACAGATGAGGCTCACTAAACTGTACCTGCAGGGGGCAGTGCTGGATCGCCTCACTCATGGCAAGTGGGACATGACCGAGCGGGCACTATCGGCCATTTAGTCGCAAAGTGGATGAAAATGATGAATCTTTCTCACTTTTCTCCTTGCGCAAGTGGGCAAAACGAAACATTGGTTTTGGCTGCCTTCTTACACTTTGGGGTTTCAGCCGGCGTGGCGCTCCAACTTAGCCTTGTGAAAGCGTGGCTGAGATGGAGTCATAACCCAAGTCATATGCAGCAACGGCGGGCCCGGTAGGCAAACGGCCATTTACCTTGCCAAGAAGAGAAAGTCTATAAATTCGAAACCCAACAAAGTGTAAAATCCTCGCGATGGCGCCCGATGGTCTAGATTACCCCTTGATAAGAGCGTTGCGGCCAAGGGGGGGGGAGGGACTCTGCCGTCCGACGCTACGCCGTACTGAACTCCAATTGGATGGAAGCCATGAGAAATATCAGGAAATTGCAAAAAATAGGCGAAAGAGGCTCATTCATTCGACTCTTATAACCGAAATGGTGATGCGTTATTCTCAAGGCTCCGTCACTGTTGGCGGCGACGAGTGGAAACTTGCATTCTAGGGTTGGAAGGGGGGTGGTTTGGCTGGGAAGCAGTTACGACAGACAACATCATTTGTTTTTCACCATATCACCACAGCTCCATGGCATGCACATGACATTATTTTGACGCACTCGTCATATTATCAACAATATGGCGTACGAATAGAATATCCGTATGACCCTCTCATGCCCACCCACTTCTTCCAATATCTCTGGTAAGTCTCCCTATACTATAATAGGCATTCGTAGGGACGATTCGAGTTTGGTCAGGGGACCATTCATCGAAAGTAGCTTCCTATGCTAGAGGAGGTTGGCACAGAATAGCCTGGTCGCGCTAGAGAAAACGTCAGAATGGAAATCAACGAGTAAACACCTGAAGTAGCGGTTACTTACAACAGGAGAAACACAGCAGAGAGCCGTTTCACTGGCCTTGGAGCATTCCTGGCGCAAATCCTCAGAGTCGTAAAACTTTTCCCATGCTATAGAAAATTAGTTGACAAGACATGAACGCTCGAGGCTGTTTCTCCTTTCGCTGAGTGTCTCACTTACGAGTATGACAGTCGAGGCCGAAGATGCCGAGGAGGTGAGAGTTACAGCACTGGGGACTGTTGTAGAGGCCTTGGGGGCAGATATGGGAGGGATGATCGTTGTGGTGATCGCCCCACCATCCGCTGCCGCCGTTGAGGGCATCCTCGAGAGGAACGGCAACAGCAAAAGCGGCAAAGAAGGTGACGATGGTGAAGGACTTCATTTCCACAGATTTCATGGATTGTTTCAACGAATGATTCCAACGTAAGAATGTAAAATACTAGGAGTCTTATTATTGAGGTAGAAAGCCAGCCAAAGTGACGACGGAATTTGTGAGAGAACTGAATGGTCTACTTATACTTCAAAGACTTCAAAACCACTGGCCAACAGGTCTCATCTTTCTACTACTCTTATGCAGTGCTTCCCTCCCATTCAGCCAGATGAAGTCGGCAATACAAGCAGAGTGGGTATACCCCTCCCGCTCCCATCTCAACGGCCCGGATACGTCGTGTTTCATCTATCGAGTTGGTTGAGTGCCGTACTTTCAACAGTATTGTGGATATCCAACGTCAGTCTGAGCTACTATGCAAGAATAAATATGATGCTCTATGTTGTTTCGTCCAGGTTTTATCGCTTCTTCCTTTTCTTCGTATCTGGAATAAGAAACAAAAGAGCGTGATCAAATCCCGACTCATAGGATCGGCTCCAAACTCTCGTCTGCCGTGATCTTGGCAAAGATTAGCTTAGCTATCTGCTTGGCTTTGATGCCTTTATATATAGAGTAAGCATCTATCGTGTAGTGTCAACACCAGCAGATATGTATACATGTGCTACGACTACCTATACCCCACATCTTCATTCTTGGCGCCGGGGTAAGAGGTACCTACTTACTATATGCTATACCTAATGCCACTTAAGTGTGTTGTATTTATAGTATATTTTGGCGTCACAGATACTTTTGGTAGATGCTTATCTCCTCCTCAATAAACTTAGTATATGTGAACTTTGTATACGAGTGCTAAGTAGAGTTACAAGATGATACCAATGAGAAATTTATTCCCCTCTTCTTGGAGTATCTTCCAGTAAACCACTAGCTCTACGTCCTCAGATGTAGAAAATACGATGTATATTTATATCCACAGGGTTACGTTGAGCGCATATGTAAAACGGTCTTGCAAATGTTGGGCCTTGTGCCTGAGTTTCTTACAGCCACATGATCGGGACAAGAGGGCTAGATTCAGCGCCACTTTCGTATGGATCGGGACAAAAAATAAAAAAGAAACTCGGGCAGTCGCATCACTGAGACTTATTTATTTCAATGGTTGTCACCGCACACTCACTCACTATTGTGGCCGGAGCAGGGCAATTTGTCGATGAGCACAACTTACCTACCCTGCAAGGATGTGAGATTGGCTGGAGAATGCAATATCCGCAGGCTCTGATGAATTGCACGTTGAAAATACGACTCTCTTGGATGAATTCTTTCCTGTAATGTATCTTCTTACTTTTCTTTCTCACTGTCTGCTGCGATTGAGATTCAGTGGTTGCCCACAGGCATAACCATACACAACTTTAAGCACTGGGCTTCTACCAAAACGAGTCAATCATGAAACTCGGGTAAGAGAATGAAGAGAGCCGGTTTCTTGGCAAAAGCTGTATAGAATGTAATACTAACGCACTGATCATCCAATCATCAAGCCGTAATAGTATAGTGGACAGTACATCAGTTTGTGGACCTAGCGAAACACTGAAAACCGAGGTTCGATTCCTCGTTACGGCATACGAAGTTTCATTTTTTGCATTTTCACCTTTTCTTGCGCCCATTTTTTTTCTTGTAACTGAAACCTCTCAAGCAATTCAACAAATTGAAACCATAGCAGACGCCTGTTTTCATTATTCTGGCCTATTTTGAGCGAAAAAAAATGCACATCGTCGTGGGCTTGATTCCTGTAGATGGGATGTTGCTTTTTGCATGCGCTTACTAATAGTGCGGAACCACAGCCTCACCAAAAACCAACCACCAGTGTACGGAGTAAGCTGCAACAACATGTACCTACTTGAGATACAGGATATACCATTAGTACCTACCTAGTACATCGCCAATTCTTTTGATAATGGTGGCCGAATGGATTCCCATTGCACACCGAAGATGAGCGTCACCGAACTCATAGGCAGCGGCTGACCGGGGAAAAAAAAAAGGAACGTTGCGTCGAGCGGAAGGTGGTGCGGAATTGGACCGCAGCTGAGCTCTAGAGTGCCCACAGCAACTTCCTTCCTCCAGACTGCAGCTCGTAACTTCAACTCTCCCTCTCTCATCGCAGACTGTCATGATTTCTACCAGAATTCCTTCTTCTTCCTCTTCCTCTTCTGTTGAGGCTTTGGCAGACTTTGCAATTTGTCTGCTTCTTCGCCGAATTCCATTTGCCGTCTCTGACTGCCATTGATTGTCACGAGTGAATGGTGTTTTCCTCTCGGTGACGGCTGCGAGTTTCTCCTTGGCGAGGCTTGTTCTTCTTTTCCATCTGGATTTATGATTGCTTATGCAGGACGGCACATGTGAGCTGAAAGACATGATTGAGGAGGGAGCCCTATCCTTGCGAGCACTCCCAGTCGGTACTAACAGTAGCGACTACATGCAGGACAAGAATCCGAGAGACACCATTTGTCTCCGATCCGCGCCCCACGTCTCTATCTGTACTATCGACTCAACGCCAGCGTCTCGATAGACTCTATACACAAAGTGGGTGCTGCGAAAGGTGGGCAGCGTTTTCAGACGTCTTGAGACCAAAAGACTTGAACTGTGTTTTCGAATGAGCCGTTGTGAATGATGATTACTTTACGAACAGGGCCGGCCCTACCGTGCTATCCAACTGTGAGAACCGCGTATAGTATCGGAATGAAAGTTCCGAATGGCACAGCCGTCCGGCGGGCCAATCAGTGACGTAGAGCAAACCTGGATTTACTTGAAAGACATGCGTAGAAGTGGGAGAATGTGCCCCGGTGTGGTGATATCCGAATGTGTACCGCCTGTCTACCTAGAATTTACGGTCAATGCTTGAATGTGTTACAGCAATGTCACAGAGAATTCTCGACCGTTTCACAAGGTATGATGACATGACTACTGAACGGTCAGGAAAAAAGACTGACTCCAATATCAAACTTGGCGTAGTATACATGTGAACGAGACGTCTTGATATTTCGATCTGGTGTGGACTTCGATGCTCAATAGCCTTTTCCCTTGATTAAAGTGCCGTCATCATGAGTGCCGAGTCACGCAACGATTCAACAACAGCGAGTGAAAGGACGTCCAACGCCTGGGGCTAAATCTGTCTCGCTCGGTCCTCTGTAACCCGAAAGGCACCCGGTCATCCCCGGAAACTGATTTAGGCCTGCTATCATGTCAATCGTTTTCACAGGGGCGAAGCTATGGGCTCATCCATCATCTGGAACCTGCGTTTGGGCAGCCGCAACACTACCCGCGACCAGCAAACAAGCAAATTCCAATCAAGTTCCCCTCCATTTCAATACCTCTCTCGTCCAACTGAACCTCAAATACGATCAGTATCCTGCTTCGGCCGCCTCATGGCTCTGGACTCTTACGTATGTTCCATGCTGGCCAATGCGAATGATGACGATCTGGTTACCATATAGGCAGGGATACTACTCCTTGAACATGCCAAGCTCACTGCTTGACTGCACATGAGACTCATCTTCTCAGTCATCCAAGCATCGAGAACTTGACCGGTCACGTTTTGCTCACGAATGTCAAGGATAATAACCGAATCATCAACTCTCATTATCGCCTAAACCACATGTTTGCCGTCCCCAACTCCAAAACTTTACTACAAAAAAACAAAAGCAAAATCAAAGACTTGTAAGCAAACCGTTTTTGCAACTCATTCCCCCCCTGCCTTCGCCCACAAAATAAATCCTTCACCGGTAAAAAAAAAAAGTACAGAGAAAGCATATGAAAAACAAGGTAAAATCTATCAAAATAGCCTTATCCTCCAAAAGTAATGATAACAAAAGTGTCGACCCAAAGCACTGAAGTCGTTTGCCTGCCGAGAGATGACAATCGGACGTCCCGTCATATGGAAAAAAAAAAAAAAAAGAGTCCGGAGCGAAGAGTTGTGGCGAGTAAGAAAAGCCGCAGGCAGTGTCTACAACGTACGCAAGAGGGGGTCCCGGAAAGCCATGTTGAATTGCGTCGTTCGTCCCAGGGACAACGGGATGTGCATACGCGGGGCTTGGTTCATGATCAGACAACGGCAGTGATTTCGGTGGCTGCGCTGACGGTGATTGATGCGCTGATTTCTTGTTTCTTCTGTTGACGCTTGGCCTTGACCGGGCTCTTGATCTTGATGCTGACTTTTGAATAGGCCCTCTTGGCAGTCTTTGTTGAGTGGACAGCCTTTTTGGGCTTTGGACCCTTGGCAGTCTTGGTCTTGGCCACTTTGATGGGTTTGAGAGTTTTGGCGAGCTTCAGCCCCTTGACGGGCTTCAAGGTTTTGGTGGGCTTGAGCGCCTTGATAGGGTGCAATGCCTTGACGGCCTTGAGAGTTCGGATGGGCTTTGGCTTTGGCTGCTGCATCTTGCGCTTCTTGGAACCGGGCTCCACGTTCTCCTCGTTCCCAGCCAGCTCGTTGAGCTTTCTCTTTCCTCCCTTGCCCTTGCCCCTGCCCCTGCCCTTGGTGGCGACCTTGATATTGTCCTTGATGGGCTTGATTCCCTTGGGCTTGGGTCCCAGCACGCCTCGGCAGTTGGGCTGTCCACAGAGACACTTTTGGACGTTTTTGGCCGAAAAAGGGTCAAAGTTGTAGTCATATGTGAGCTCCTCGCCCGTCATGATGGGCCTGTCACCAGCAAAGAGAGCCATTCTGGGCTGCCCTGAGACAATCCACTTGATCATTCGGCAGTTGGGGTTGCAGCTATGGTTTACAAATCGAGCAATACTGCCCGTGGTGGCATCGATAATCATGTTTTGATCAAAGCTCATTAAGTAATAGCACTGACAAGGGGGGAAAAAAAAGAAGAAGGTATGTTAGCCCCGTGATACAAAACGCCCCAGAGAAGCAAGTGTTGCTTGGTTCCGGTGTCTGCTTACCTCGTTATTCTTATAAATTTCATTCATTCGTCGTTCGCATTCCTCTTCGGTGATGATCTCGCCTGCGTACTCCATGATGATTTGGTGAGGCTCGAAGCAGCGATTGCTGCGGACGCCATAGCCGCGGTCCGACGTCTTGATTACCTCGACGCCGACGCGATATTTCCCGCCCTTGGCTCGCCGGGCTGTCAAGTCGGCAAAGGCACGGTTGGTGCATTTGGCCTTGCCAATGTTGCAGTTTGTGTCGTCGCATTCGTAGAGCATGATTCGGTTCTGGCACGTCTCGGCACAGCCATCCTCTGGCTTGCACACACACTTGGACTGATAATCGAGAATGTGTGGCATCTTTTTCCAGACTTCTTTGGATTCGCCAATGAATCGGTCTAGAGGCGCATGGCAGTTAGCAAAAGGGGCGGCTCGTGTGGGCGTGATTTGTTTGTAGATGTAGCACATACTCTTGGTCATCTTCTTCCACTCATCTGGCTTGGGCTGTCCGGGCGGCAGCGGGTTGCAGACGTGAAACGGCAGCTTGAAATCGCGGCCAGTCAACAAGACTCGAAAGCCCGTAAAGATGGGCGCGGGCATGACCTTGTTCTCCTTGCGGGGCATGAGCTCGGGCAGTTGCGCCAGCTGCTTCTTCTCGTTCGCTGTCAGTCCTCGAGTGATGTCCTGTGTCACTTCTTGTCCTGAATAGAGACCCTTGGAGAGGTATTTCTTGACCCTCCGCTTCTTGGACTGGGCGACGGGCTCCTCCGACTCCTCCTTGACCTTGATCTCGGCCGCCACCTCGACCTTTGCCCTCTTGCGCGGCTGGCGCTCTACGGCCTGGCTGGGGTCGACATATTTGCCATTGGACCAGACGCTGTGGATGACGGGTTTTTCGTCAATGTGGTTAAACTCCTTTGTGTCCTGCAGGCGCCGCAGCTCGCGGGACAGTTTGACCGGCTTACCAACAACCTTGTTATTGCGCCCGCGCTTGGCAGCAGAGAGCTTGGCCGTGATGGACGATACCGGCGTCGCACCGGCACTCGCGCCGCCGCTTGGGCCGGCGAGACGCGCCACGGACCGCAGCGAGCGTGGCGATGGTCGCGCCAGGCGTTGCGGGCGCGGCGTGCTGCGTTTGCTGGGAGAAGCCTCGAGATTCAACGCGTCAATGTTGGTCGACGCCGGGCCCAGCGCACCGACATGGGCGTCGCCAGGCGTCACAGTGGTGCCTGCAATGGTCCGGCGCCTGCGAGTGGCCACGATGTCGCCTTTGGCCCGGCGTTTGCCATGCGCGCTGGTGCCGCTGAGCTTGGCCAGGTTGTAGACGGGCAGGCTTGCTCGTGCCCTCTGAGGCCGGCGCGGCGATGGCACGTCGGACGCGGGCAGGGCGGGAGCGACCGCGACGACGGTCGAGTCGTCAATCACGGTGATGACATCGTGTTTCGAGGCGTCCGAGTGTAGACTGTCGCTGTCGGTGACGGTCGTGGGGGGAGTCGAGCTCGACGACGCGAGGTTGGACGAGTCGTCGGTCGAGGCGGAGATGGAGTCGCCGCTTTCGGTGGCAGCAAACAGGGACAGCATGGCTGCGAATTGCGTTTATAGCGGCAACGGGGGTGCGGTCATGAAGCAGCCAAAGAAGAAGAAAAGAAAAGAGGACAAAGCAAACAAACAAACAAACAAACAAACACGCACAGCCTATGAAGAGACAATAAGAAGCCCTGGGAATAATAAAGGGCCAAAACAGACAGCCGAAGAGAGAGAAGGAAGAAAGATGCCAGGAAAAGTCCACTGCTCAAATGGTAATAACAACGAGATTCCAGCCTGCACGGCCCGGCTGGGAGAAAAGGTTCAAAAGAGCAAGAGGGAAAAGGGAAAAAGGTGGAAAAGTCGCAGGTTTGCTGCCAAGTCGTCGTGAGTCGGCAAAGTTGACAAAAACGCGGGTGCACGCGTGAGCTAACAACTAAGCAGGACTGGACGCAGATAAGCAGGCAAGGCGGATAGGCGGGTGAGAGGAGGAAGAGGCGAGCAAGGGCGGCCACGGTATAAATAAGGTAAATAGAGGAGCCTCGCCCGGCTAAGAGACAAGCTTTGGTCAGGCCGGGTCAGTCCGCACTCGCTGGTATGGAGCTGGAGCTGTGTTGTATTGTACGAGTTAGGTATATAACAACTTGAGATATACACAGACGGTACCTTGAGGGTTATGTACTATAGGTACGTTGGGGTTAGTATGTTGTGTGAGAGCTGGCCGAGCGTGAATGCGAGTGAGTGTTGGATGCCCACAAGTTGCGCGCGTTGAGGTGCTATCTTATATGGCGTCTGTGCATGTATTGGTTGGTACTCGGTATATCCCGGAGAATGGCAGTGATTGTGATTGTGACTGTGAGGACGGAGGGAGTATGCGATTGTGCGTGCTTTTGTGCCTTTTGCTCCGTAAATGGGCACCAGAACTCTCGCCCTTGGACAAGGACCAGACCGGGGATGGCGTCGACTTGATCTGATAGGTGAAGTGAGCAGCGAAGCCACTTATTGACAACCCGCCTTTTTTTTCTCCTCAGTCAGATACCGTAGCCAAGCCGAGGCCTTTTCGCCGGGCTTTTAGATCAGGGGGCGGTTTGGGAAACGAGGAGCCACAACTGAGGGCGGAAAAAGAAAAGAAGAAGAGAAAAAAAAAAGAGGCAATGAGACAAGACGATCCCAGCCGAGAGTAGAGTGTTGTTTGAGTGGTGAATGGTGAGTGGGTGAGTGGGTGAGTGAGTGGTGAGTGGTGGGTGAGTGAGTGGCAAGAGACGACAAGTAAGAGGTAAGAGGTCAGAGGCACGAGGTACGAGGTGAGAGGCGACAAGGTGGAGAGTGGAGGATCGGAGCTGACTGAGATGAGGGTGTCACTGACAAAGTGGATTGAGGCTAAACAAGTGAAGAGGATGTGAGGATGTCCCTGGCCATGTCCGATCCTGGTGATGTTGCGCCTTGTCCGTCCTTCGTCTCTCTTGTGCTCTCGCTGGTTCCGGCGCGCGCTCGCAGTCTCTTCAGACGAGTCGAATTTGCTTCCAACCAAAGAGGCTTCGTCCTTTGTGGTTTTGCCCTCCGGTTGCGGCTCTCCTTTTACTTGCCTTGCCGCCCAGGATGTCTGAAAGGGTTGTTGGGATAAGCCGTTGAGAAATTTCAGGATACATACATACACTACCACAGGAGGAAGAGAGGGGAAAGTAGAAAAAAAAAAAAGGAACAGGTAGCCTGGGGGGGGAATGGAAGAATCGAGTTAAAAAAAAAAAAGCAAAAAAAAAAGAGAGGCGCAAGTGAAAAAATAAATAAATTGGCAACTTGACCAGCGGCTGAAGTGAGCGTGAGGCGCCCGAGCTAAATAAAATTCATTGCGCAGGCATTGCGTGCGTTATCCGAAACACCAAGAAGACGGGCTTGGGCCCAATCTTGCCGAATCCTCCCTTTTGCTTCTTTGGACAAAGTCTTGGCCCTGTCCTGGCCTGGCCTGGCCTGGCCCGGCCCTGTCTGTCTTACTCCGCACCTGGTGATGTTGCCCGTGATATTGTGTCTCTCCCTGCTTGATGCCAGTCGCCCGAGGGGCCTCAACGCAGGCCGATGCGACGGTCACCGTATCATACATTACGTATCTATTGCGCGTGAGAGTTGGCAAACCCTGGCAAGGTCAAGCGAGTACCTTATAAAAAGCAAAACCAGCCGGCGAGCATCGTTTGATGATTTGTGATATGCTACCGCCGTAGGCGCCATTCTCCCCAATGTCTGAGATAACTGGCTGATACCTGACGGTGTGCTTGTCCATCAGCTTCTTCCCATGCCGCCATTCATCTTGCACCATCATCCATGATCAGCTCGTTTCGTGGTTGTTGAATTTCATCTTGATGCTCTTCTCCTCCGCCGCTACGTGGGAGCAACATGCCACTCCTCCATCACATTCGGAGCATCAGTCAGATGTTCTCGCCAACAACAACAAAACACAAAGCACCGCATCTTTTTTCCCAATCGTACGTGTTTCCCTGCGTATTCATACGGCGCCTCACCGGTTCGGAAGTGCAGGGTTCTCAGCCTCAGCCTGAGTCAATGTCTCTCATGCCAATCTCCTAGGTTCTAAAATGGCTTGTACCACTGCCATCACCGCAATGGTGTTTTAGCGCAATCACCACCATCGGCTGGCTCGGACGAGAAAGTGCCAAATCAGAGGCCTAAACTCGCCCAACTAGATGATGAAAGATTGGCCTCGACGATGCCCATGACCTTTTGTGAAATTTACCCGTGTGCCTTCTTCCTTACAGACCCAGTTGTGGTGAGATACATAACGGTGTTGCGGTGAGACATACGCTGCGGCATACATATATTATCGGGTTGAAAAAGCAGTAACTCACTGGTATCAGCCCATGTTAATTAGATAAGAAAAAAACTTCACCAGGCTTTCACCCGTCCCATCGGTCTGTGTTGCACGTCGTTTATCAACCTGTCCGTCATTTGGACCCTGATAATGTCTGGGGGTGTGAGTTATGCACCAACAAGTTGGCAGATGGAGCCGAGCTGGATGACCATGGCGGTGGAACTAGCCTCCAGGATTGCAACTTGGGTTCGGGTCAAAATGCCTCTTGTTTGCATCTTCAAGTCGTAAAGGAGGGGAAACAGAAAGTTCAAGGGAAAAGGGCAACGCCATGCTGTGATTAAGGAAACCACATTCACCAGACAGCCAGGTCCGATTCAGTTCCCGTGGGAAAGGCACAATGACTCTGTCCTGGGTATAGTACTTAGCCAAGATATAAGCATGGCTACTAGGGTACAGTGGCAAAGTGGACTTGCTGCCATCACAATCGCCTTTTGGATATCGCCATGTGATTCAGCAAGAGACGCATCCATTGATGTCCTACTCCGGTAACGCCAGCTCTATTGACGGGGGATGATGAGCCTGACCTATCCGGGACGTTGACTCACTGGCCGGCTATTCACGAATAAGAGAGAACACGATAACCAGCACTTGTCAAAATGGACTACATGAACGTGGCAAGCAATCGGTGAAATACTTCCAAAGTAAACCTAGGATTAATAAACACATGGTCTTATGTTGGCATCAGTAAAGGGATAATGTACCGGATAATCCAAGCAAGAGTCGACAAAAAGGTGTCAAAACATCAAACACAGTCTTGTATATGTTTTAGAAAACGTCCGTCGTAGATTAGTAGACGTTTCATCTATTAATTGCAAAAAGGGCAAACATCTAGGGGGAATCTAATGCACAGCACTCTTTGCACATGATATAGGGTATTATGGGTATGAATGAGGCGTGGCAACGGCAAGGCATACCGGAGGCCCGCGCTCATAATGACAACAACATCAAAAAAAAAAAAAAGAGATAAGAAAAACTTCCGGTTCCCCCCAATTTCATAGCGGGTCACCGTCGCGACTCAACGAGACATGGGCCTGAATGCTTCCTTAAGCCGACTTCTCCGGCTGCGCGGCCTCAACGGCCTCAATTTCCTTGGGCGCAGCCTCAGCCTCCTTTGGGGCACCATCAGCAGCGACGGGTACTTGCTCAGTCTCCTTCTTTCCCTCGGTCTCTTGCTTGGTCTCCTCCTCGACAGGAGACTTGGCCTCCTCAGCCTTGGCCTCCGGCTCAACAGGGGCAGGGGCAGGGGCTTCCTCTTTCTTGGCCTCCACAGAAGCTTCCTCTTCCTTGGGCCTAATAGGAATATCCACTGTTTGAGGTTCCGCGACTGCAGTCTCGTTTGCTTGTGCGGTGGCCTCAACGGGAGCCTCAACAGGAGCGACAACGGCATCGGACTTGGGCTCTACAGCGGCCTCCGCCTTTGCTGCCTCGGTAGACTCGGCGAGCGTCACCGTGATTCCTTCCTGAACGGGAGAGCCGCTGCCTCCGTACTCCTTGGGCAATGAGGGGGCAATGCTCTTGAGCTCCGTAGATAGAGTAGTGCCAGATGTCATCGGGTGGAACTTCTTCAAAGTGGCTGGCGCGAGGAAAAGCTTCATGGCTCCAAACATCCAACCCATAATGGCAGGCACATTGACAAAGTACTTGTGCGCTAGCAGCTCTGGGTAGGCCATGGAGAAGACAGAGATAGTCTCCTTGCTGGCGGCCTTGACGGCGGGGTCCATGCGGAAGAAGCTGACTGATTTGTAGTCGTGCACCTGAAGCATCTGATGCTTGTCGGTGCCATCCTCTGGGAGGGGCTCCGTGATGTCGTTGAGATGGAGCTGCTGCACGCCCAATTCCATGAGAGCGGCGCGCCACTTGATGAACCTACAAGCGTCGATATGAATTAGAAAGAATTTCTCTACTGCTGTGTTTTACTTGCTCTCAGACAAGGCACTTACTCGGTGACGTCTCCAAAGGTGGCCTTGTTGTCCTTGACGGAGCCGTAAATGTTCCAAGTAATGACGGTGTTGTTGCCGGCCTCATCCTTGTGGTTCGTCACGAAGCCGAGGCCGCCAAACTTGTCCTTGTTGAAGGCCTCGCTCACGAGCTTTGCCGGCTGCCACTTCTCTCGCCAAGCCAGAGCGGCGGCAAGCTGCTTCTCAGCACTGGCCAAATCGCCATTGTTGGCGCGCAGGAACTTCTGGAGAATGACCTGAGTCGGGGCATGGCTGGCATTGCTCGAAAGCTCGACACCCCACATCTCGCTGTGAGCCGACTCCTTGGTGATGTCGGCCAGACGCGCCGTGAATTTGGCGAGGGGAGTCTCCGGCGTCAAGGCTGGCGCCTCGGCCTGTTCAGCCTTTTCAGGGGTGGCGGCGGACACGTTTTCCGTAGACATGATGGTGGCTGGATCGACGACGAATGACGGGTTGGATGGATGGTTGGCAGTGCCAAAGAAAAATAGAGGTCAAAAATTCTCAAGGGGAGAGGAAAAAGTTGACGTTGGGTGTTGTTGTTTAGCACAGGCCAGGGCACTACGGGCACGGCAGCAGCCAAAAAAAAAAGAAAAAAAAAAGAAAAAAAAAAGATACTCAGAAGCCCGCTGGGGGTTCGGCTATTGCTTGCTATCAATTAGCAGCCTGGGCAGTGACGACGGGAGCAACGGAGTGGTACAGTACAAAGCGTGTACCAAAGTATTACAAGATGATAAGGCAGCGGTTGGTACTGCACAACAGCAACGAAAATAAAATGGGAAGAGAACCGGAAATCAAGGGAACAAGTGTAAATAAATATACTGGTTACGATGACATTGTATGTATGAAGTACAGAGAGGGGTTAAAAAAAGGAGTCGCTTCACGTATGTGTTGCTCTTTTCGAGGTCGGCAAAGAACGGATCAGCATGTGTCAACAGGCCCTCTCTATATTTAGAGGTGAACATGAGCTGCCCGGTCATTTAGACGAAACCACGGCGTACCTTGTACTTTGTAGGTTGTAAGGCGTCGGCTACTGTACCTCATGTCAAGTATCAGCTGGTATTTTCCTCGTACATACCTCGGACTACGAGGTACATGCCTCCGTTGATTTCACTAACACGACAAGATACCTGCCCGGCAAGGTACCGCGGCGGTAGTACTGATAAAATTGCGAGGTGGTCAGCCCGGTACTCTGTACCACTGATCACAGAGCCAGTCAAAGCCCACTAAAAAGTCCGGGTACCTGACAGGCAAGCCCCCCTGTTGGTCGTCTACCTACCTACTAAGATCGATGTTGTTTAATTTCGTCTTCAGGCGCCAAATAACCATCATGCATTGGACAGCTACCGGACACTTGGGAGGCGGATAAACCACTGCCGAAGCCGTCTCAGGTATAGCCAGGTACATTCCTCAGTACTCGCCTCTAAGTGCTCAAGCACGAGGAAGGTGTGCCCATTCGGTTGCATGACCAGGTCTGGGCGACATCATGCCACGCGCAAGTTGAGCAGTCTACTAATATCGGCACAGGCCAGCACCCAAGTATCCCGAACAATAACAGGGAACAAGTATTACTAACCTACCACCCAAGCCCTGGAAGTCTGTCTGAGGTAGGTAACTGTACCTTGACACAGATAGAAGAGGTACTAAAGTACCTAGCACCCAGTATCAGGTATTACCGCAGGTACCTGTATAAGGCAAGAGAGCTCTGACTACCAGGTACCTTAGTACTACCTGTAACCAACTCTGGGCTTGGACGACAATCTTGTCTTCTTCACTTCACCATCGCCGTCTTTTCGCTTACAAGCATCGGGCGTTCCCCGCCGCATAATTCTCCTTATTACGCGCGATTTGTCAAATACCGTTCAGATTCCTATTTATGGACTGTCTGATTTCTGTGTTCCCATTTCGCCTGACGACGGCCCAGCTTCGCGGGGTTGACTCGAGATGAATGCAAATCATCTCGCCTGCGTACCACCGACATCATTCACCACCGTGTTTACCAACCGACAACTAGCTTCCTCAACCCATAGCAAACGCAATAATTCGAGCCGTGTAAGCCGCCAATGAATCGATTCTCCGGCCATCAGCCATCCCTTTTGGGAAAACACAGCTTTGCCCACGACCGTCTTGTGTCTCCTGCTATCCACCGAGTTTCTACCGCGGGAGAGCGTCCATTGGCCAACTCGGTGCCCAGTGAAGACAAAAGGCAAAAGCACCCAGTGCTAAGAAAGAAAAGAAAAGAAAAGAAAGAAATGCCAATAGCCTTCAGCAAGGGTGTCTTCTTGCCGCCCTACTTCATCCTCCTTAAGACAATCAAACGCCGAAATGTGGTCCCGTTCGAGAAAGGTCATCGTTCCTTCTTCACAGCAACCGTGCTGCGTTAGACTTGGGTAAAGGCACGGGTGAGGATACGCTCCACAGCCGAAAACTCCATGTGAGCCGCCTGCGCGAGCGTCATGTTATCGAACTGGGGCCCGAGAATGTATCCTACTTCGGCCCAGAAATAGCCCCAGTACATGTCTGTCTGTTCGGCACGCTCTTGAAGTCCAGTACGATCTCGGAGAGGCAGGGTGAGGATGTCCTTGTAAGTTTGCTCACGAATGATTGCGACATACCACTGTCAAGAAAGACGCAAACACGTCATTAGTCTGCACGATGAAATCCAAGGCTCAAAGCATGCCGGGACATGGCAAACGTACCTCAACAATATCCAGAGGGAAGCCAGGCTTTGGGCCAATGGCGTACTGATGGCGCCAGCGGTCCGCGAAACGCGGCAGCTGGTAGTATTCTTGATCGAGCGCCTGCATGTTGGTGATCCAAGCGATGCCGTCCTTCATGCATGGCGTGAAGCCGGGGCAAAGCATGGCGGCTTGAACAAGACGCCGGAGCAAAAAGGGAGTCAAGTGCGCAGCATCTTCCTGGAAAAGAATGCTTCGAGTAAGCTGGCGAACAAGCGAAAGGGTAGCCTGGTAGATGGCCTCCCGTTCTTTGATCGTTACGCAATCGGTGATGAACCACGGAAACTTCTTGATGGTGCTGATCAAGCACTCATAAGGGCGCTGCGGGCAATCCCTAGAAAAGGGAGACTGTTTGTTCATTCAAATATGTCAGCAGACTTTTCTCAAACGCGGGGAAAGGGCCGTCCAGGACGGAACAAGGAAAGAAACTGGTGAAGAAGCAAAGGAGGCAGTACAAGACTATGGCCACGTACTCGATGAGGCACCTCGACGTGTTTGACCAGCATAATCATCTCCTCCTCGGAGATGAAACCCTTGAAGTTGTCCCAAGGCTGGCTGGGATTAAAAGGCATAATATCGGGGGTGACACCGTTCCAAAAGACACCGCGAGCGATGGGGAAGAGATCCCTCATGAGGTTGGCCTGAGAAGTCACCTCCACTTCGATGGGACGATCGCCCAGGCGACTGAATCGGCCGGCGACGACATTGGCTCGGTGTCTCTCGACCGCTCTCATTGCATCCTCAAGAGACACAAACTCGACATAGGCGTCCATGGTCTTGCTCGTCACCTTGTCCATGATTATGTGCACACCTTCGTCTGTGTCGTTCAAAACCTTGGAGTTGCGACCGAGGAAAGCAATCACTTCGGCACGAGTAGAGGAAAACGGAATCTACGCCGGCAAGATTAGCAAAGAGCCTTTGTCAACGAGTTTGCAAACAGCGGAAGAGGGAGTAGTCACTCACGTTTCTCAGCTTGATAATGCCCCAATTCATCGGCTTTGCCAATCTGGCCGACTCGATAAAGGGGAAGTTGGACGGGTCCATGGCATCGGCCAGAGTTGGAAGCCCCGTGGTGGTATTGGTCAGCTGCAGAAGCTTGTTCGAGGGCGGCGCCTGCATCATTGGGGCATGAGTCGAGCAATCAGGCGGGATCTCGGACAACTCAGTTGTCTCACTGAGACGCACGCCAAAAGGTCTGACAATCTGGCGGACGATTCGGGCTTCGCGATCGCTATCATGCTCGGGAGCTGCTTCAGCAACAGCAAGCCCAAGATCAAATCTCGGGGGAGGCTGCATCATGATGGGGTTGATGGCAGCAGGCAATCCTGCTGTCCGGGGAGCGTAGTTGCGTGGCTCGCTGGCGACCGTCGACATGCCCGGGCTGAAATAGCCTCGGACAGGAGCACCGGAGCGACGCTGAGGCGGAGTCATGTCGGACGAGGGGCTAGAAAACACGTCGCCTGGCTGAAGAGAGTTGAGAGACTGGCTGTGCGGAATGAAGGATGGGCGACCGTGTTGCTCAAACCCAGTTTCAGCCATTCTCTGAAGGCTTGTGCGATGGTCACTGCTCGCCTCTTGATAGAAGCCAGCAGTCGAGGCATGGGGTGGAGTCTGAACTTGGAGAAAGTTTGGATATTGAATATCTGGGTTCTCTACCGAGACAGACTCGAACCCGCCGTGGTATTGCACCGACTGCTGGGCTTCATCGAAATCTCCATTATCTGGGACGCCTTCCTAAGGCATGCCCACATTTGGATCCTCATCGTGGGCCTGAGTGTGAGCCAAAGCAAACGAAACCATATCAAACTGATTGTGAGCCTGGCCCGGCGGAGTCTGATGCTGAACCTGGCTTTGAGCCTGACTTTGGACTTGAGCCTGGCTTCGATTCTGGTGAAAGTTGGGAACGCGGTAACCAGGAGGGTATCCAACTACAAGAGGACGGGTGTCGTCTCTCTGTCTAGCCTGCTAGTGACATATGTGAGTACGGCTACATCAAAATCAAGGGAACAAACGAAAGGCAAACGAAGGGCAACAGAAGAAGAAAAGAAGAAAGAAGAAAGAGAAATCAAAAGGCAACAGAGGGAGCGGGATTTACTTACCTGTGTCGACGCAGATGGAACCCAGATGCTGGCGGATGGATTGAACGAGCTGCGCTGAACACCATCCTGACGGCGTGGCTCCAGGTTGCTGCCACTGGCTGCATTTTGAGCATTGCGGTTAGACGGACTGCAGTCAGAGGTGTTGGGGGCAAGTTGACCATTCTCTCCATCTGCAGAAGGCGACGGATGAGTCGTCGCCGACGCAGGTTCAATGAAGGGCGCTTCGCTAAAGCGTATACCCTGAACAGCTCTCGAGCCTCTCGAAGCCATCCTGACAGCGTCGGTCTGTTCAAAAATTAGCAAAAGACCCAAGAGTTGGGTTGCAAATGAACAACGTAGGGAGTGAGGCTCAAAGAAGACACATGTGCGAGGGTAATGGCGAGAACAAAAAGACGGTGATTGGGAACTTTGCAAAGGCGGTACAGAAGATTCGCAAAACCAACAAAGGAGCACAACAGCAGCAATATGCTACTCGGAAGAAGAAGAAAAATTGGCAGATTACCAACTTGCAACGCACAAAACAGCTGGGGGTGCAACACACCTTTTCTTCCTTGCAACGTTGCTGGTTAAAGAGGCTGCGCGAAGGTCTTCAGAAATCAGGAGGTGGTGATGATGAAGGAAACAGAAGAAGAGGGGGGGAGAGAGGGGGAGGGAGATGAAAGAGTCACAGGAGGCCCTCCAAACAATGAGCTAGCGGGGCAACAGTAAGAACAAAATCGAAGGCTGCTGCTTTGGCGCGCCTTGCCAGCTGTTGAAGCTGAGGCTGGCAGGCAAAGCGTTGCTGCCGGACCGACAAGGTGGCCTGCCAGATCTCCCAGCTGCTCGGCAGCGAAGACACATTGCTGGCAGCGGTTGAGAGCCTGTGAATGATGAGAAATTTGTAGAAGAGTAAAGGGGACAGATGGATGTCACTTTAAGAGGCAAATACTAATGGACGGGGATATCGCAGATCTGGGCCCTTTGTGAGAAGACGAGGCTATTGGAGACATGTCAACTTGCCTGCCAAACAAAGAGGGGGTGAACATGAAGCCTTGACCAAAGTGTTCCCATACATAACACGCCGCTGCTAAGTAAAATAGAAGATTTTTTTTATTTAGACTACCAGATTCCTGCACCGCCATCATCAGTCACGAGAGACGAAGAAGCCAGCATTGTTACGGAAGCATGAGAATCCCACTCGAGCCTAATGTATTTGACAGATGTCTGACTGAACTGGGATTAGAGTACAAAAGTTTCGCTTTGGCCACGTCGTTGAGAGAGTCCTATTTCATGGATACATAATGTCTAACGCAGTTTAATCAAACTAACATGTAGATGATGAGCTGTATAATTCTTGGGCAAACAAAGGGGGGGAGGGGGGTAGTGGCGTGGTGCACTCACAGGTGTCAGGAATGACTCGGCGACGAATCGTGCTCTGGCGTTGAGCTGTAAAATTTACACGTCAGTTCAAGTCCATCGTATCCGCCGGGCGGGGAGCACATACAAAGAGCTTCATCTCGGAGATCTCCTTATCGACCTCCTCTTGGAACTCAATGATGAAATCGACCAGCTTGTGCTTCAACATCTCCTCCGTGTGGAAGTTTGTTATCAAAAAGGAAATATCATAGCCCTATTTCGGATAATAACGCGTTAGAACAATGCTCCACGTCCAAGGGTTCGAGTACACAGCTTCGGGCTCGGATGGATGGGGCATCGCGAGGATCAAAGGATCCCCCCTCGTCTCAGTGTGCCACCTACGGGAATCGGTTTTCTTCGCAGAATGAAGAAGGCCTCGGCTCTCTGGGTCAGGAAACGGGCAAACTTGTGGACGAGGATGGATTCGATCTCGTCGGCCTGCTTGATCTTGATGCTGATGCGGACCGAGTTGATGCTCGGCTCGATCAGCACCCGCTCGTTCTCGTTACGCGCAATCACGAGGGGCGTCAGGACGACCTCGGGGGAGGTCTGGGCCTCGATCTCGGGGACGTTGTGGCGCTCGGTGGTCTGGGAGGCAAAGTTGGACAGGGTCAGCGCGGCAGTCAAGCTGCTTCGCACGCATTGGAGGTACGGCCGCAGTGATTGAGACTGGCATGGGCAAGGCAAGGTCAGCGGTCAGTTTTCCCCGGGCCTCTCACAACTCGCACCACGGCGGTCTTCCGGAACAAGTCCAGTCGAGTCCAGGGGGTTGAGCGAGAGGCAAAAAGGAGCACGTGCAGGGCATACCATGACTGCTAAAGGCTGCTGCTGCGTGCCCTGGGTTGGGCCAATGTTGCGCAGGAAGCTATTCGCGGGTGTTGGTTGTGGTCCGGAAGCTCCTGGCGACGGAGTACTTTCACTGTTACGTGGACTGGTAACCGCAGTGGTAGGGGAATCCGCGGGGTTCGATTCCGCATGTCACTAGCAGGAGGTTGACGTCTGTAGGCGCAAGGTGGGGCCCAGCTACAGGCGGTTGATTCTCCCTGTAGTGCGAGTAAGCTTGTGAGGCTTAGGCGCTCGTAGCTGGCTCCAAGCTTGCGCCACCAGCCACAGCTCCTCTCCAAACAAAGCGTCACGTGTCTGCTTATCAACTCCCCCAGCGGCCCAAGCTTTCGTCGGACGGAACCTGCCACACCGCATGCGCCACACCTCCCGCCATCAGGTACCACTGTCGTGACGCAGCGAGGGCTCCGCAGCGCTTCTCTTCCCTTCTCTCGACATCTCTCAGTGTCTTCCGTTTGACTTTGGACACTTGATTCTTGCTTTGTTGGACGAGTATTACTCAGGGAATTCATCTTTGCCTGCCATCTTTTTTTTTTCGGCTGTTCCCTGAAGAAAGAAGTCGTCGACTCGAGCTTCAGCTACTGCTGAATCGACCGCCACCTTTGCAACAATGGCTTCCATCCCTGGTCCGTGATCCCCCACCATCATCATATCGCCTTCTGCTGCCTCCAGTCTCTCGTGGCAGAAGTCATTTCTTTTCCGCTCTTTCTGCCTGGCCCACGATGAATACTTACGGTAACTGACACGAGATTTGAACCGTTTTAGTTGTCGTGAAGCATCAGGGCAAGAAATATGAAGTAGATGTCGATCCCGAATCGACAGGCTTGGACTTCAAGCTCCAGCTCTTCAGCCTTACCAACGTCGAACCCGAACGCCAGAAGATCCTCATCAAGGGTGTCCAGCTCAAAGATGAAGCTGATATGAGCAAGTTGAACCTCAAGGCTGGCCAAAGCATCATGATGATGGGCACGCCAGGAGGTGGCGCTGGAGACCTGGTCCGCCCGGCAGAGCAGATCAAGTTTGTCGAGGACATGACCGAGGCCGAGCAAGCCCAGCAAGCTGGCGCCACCCCAGCCGGCCTTATCAATCTCGGAAACACATGCTATCTAAACTCGACTCTGCAAACGTTGCGTTTGATTCCCGAACTTCAGACGGCCCTGACAACGTACAGCCCACTGGGGGGCACCGCGCGGGCCGACTTGGCTGCCCAGCTCTCCAATCTATACAAGGACATGGGTAACACGCAAGACTCTATCCAGCCTTTGAGCTTCCTATCGGCATTGAGGCTCGTGTTCCCCCAGTTTGCCGAAAAGTCCAAGAGCGGCCCTGGATATGCCCAGCAAGATGCTGAAGAGGCCTGGTCTCAGATCGTTCAGCAACTGGGCCAAAAAGTCACAATCAAGACTACCCCCGATACACCCAGCATTTCTTTCGTCGAAAAGTACATGGCGGGAGAGTTCTCCTCAGTCCTTGAGTGCGATGAGGAGGAGGCCCGAAACGGTGGCGAGCAAGCAATAGCCTCTAGAGATGCCTTTTACAAGCTCGACTGCCACATCGATAGTCAGACAAACCACTTGAGGGATGGCATCTTGGCCGCACTGAGTGAGCAGCTGGAGAAGAGATCAGAGGTACTCGGCCGAGACGCCACTTACACCAAAAAGTCCAAGATATCCCGAGCTCCCAAGTACCTCACTGTCCACTTTGTGCGCTTCTTCTGGAAAAAGGAAACAAAGAAGAAGGCCAAAATCATGCGCAAGGTCACATTCCCTCAAGAACTAGACATTGTCGAGTTCTGCTCAGACGAGCTCAAGGAGGCCCTGATACCCGTCCGAGACAAGGTCCGCGAGGTTCGGAAAGATGAAGAAGACATTGAACGTGCCCGCAAGCGCCGGAAGAAGACCCACGACAAGGACATGAGCGACGTCCCTGGCGGCTCGGGTCTACCCTCGGAGAGGGAACTGAAGCAGCAGAAGGAGAAGGAGGCAAGCAAACCAGGTCAGCCGCAGCAGGCGGATGATGCCGACACTGTCATGGGTGAGACTTTCAAGACGGACGCCCAAGTCGAGGCGGAGAGCGAAGCTGCTCTTCTCTCCGCCAAGAAGGAGCTCAATGCCCTGATAAATCCCGCTCTGCGCGATGACGACGGTGCCAACCAGTCAGGTCTCTACGAGCTCCGTGGCGTCGTCACCCATCAGGGTGCCAGTGCCGACAGCGGCCACTACACGGCATACGTCAAGAAGACGGGAACCGTGGACCCCAAGACGGGCAAGAAGGAAAAGGAAGACGGCAATTGGTGGTGGTTCAATGACGACAAGGTATCCGAGGTGACGGTTGACAAGGTTGAAGCCTTGGCTGGCGGCGGCGAGTCCCACTCAGCCTTGATCCTCCTCTACAAGGCGATCCCTCTGCCTAGTTCCGAGGGTCTAGAGGAGTAGGTCGGCTGAACCTCCCGTACATCGTTCTTCCCCCGTTCTAGTTTTGTCACAGACGGGCAGGAAGAAAAGGGATTTGCATTGGGCGTTACCATGGATGAGTTATTACCACTTGGCGGGGATGGGGCGAACCAAGGTCGGATTCTGTCTAGAGCTGGTCAAGTTTCTGGTCAAAGACACATGCCATAATGTATAGAACAGAATGCTCCATGGACCAGAAAAGACAATTTGAACACAATCGGATTAAACGTTTTTGTACAAGTCTATATGGGTATCGTGGTGTTTCTCTTTTTCCAAGACCAGTCATCTTCCGTGATTTTCCTTCAACCTTTGCTTGCGCCAGTGAATTATAACAATAAAAGTTAAAAGTTCCGCTGCTCTATGTAGCATAGCAGAAATAGAGGAGTTCAAATGGCCCTGCTGTCAAGACTGGAGGGCACGCAATGCTGCATGATTTCAGTAGCTCATTGTCAAACGGCTCAGATTCCCCCCTTTTTTTGTGATAAAAGGAGCCCACAAATTGCCCTATCGTTTCTTGGAATTCTCCTGTTCTTGCTGCCTCTCTTGGACACGCTCCCTGAAGACGTCCAGCTTCTTCTGCAAAACTGACCTTTGCTCGACAAGAGTGCTTCGCTGCTTCTCGAGCATGGCGATTTGTTCGCTGGGAGTAATCTGGCGAAACTCCTTGATGGACTATAAAGGATATGTTAGAAGAGCATCTACAAAAGAAACAACTCCACGTATGAAATCTCCAAAGATGGAAAAGGGCACTGGCAAGAGCTGGGGAATTCGCTGACCTGCTCTTTTTGCTTGTCCGACTTGAGCTGTGCGCCGGTTAGGGTGCCAACCATGATGATGGCGGCAAAGGCCACGGCCCAGACGCCGCCTCTGAATTTTTGCTGCTTGGTCAGGGTAGTTGGTGAAGCCATCTTTGGGTCTTGTTTATCCTTCCTTTGCCTAGTCTGTTTGTTTCCTTGTTTCCGGGCTACCCAGGGAAAACGTGATGGTGCCGTGTGTCGCCTAGGATGCCACGATGTCACCAGCAGCCTTTCCAGATCTGATTGGCCTTGTTCTGGCGCTCAATTGGGGTCATGCCCCTCTTCGGCGAATCAGCAGTCGAAGCGGTCGAAAGCTCCAAGCTAGCCGAGCTGCGGCGGCTCACAAGTTGAACAAGATCCTTGCCCGGCGAAGCAGATGCAGATTTTCTCTCCGGCAGGGCGGACGGCGGCGACACGGCGGGCAGCGACAGGGACGCCCGCTTGTGCTTGACGATACGAGGAGCCGCAGCGGCCGAGGGACTGTTCCAGGGATGGAGGGTCACCAGCTCAATGTCTTGGCTAGTGCTCCGGCAGGCAGAATCGGGCGGCGATGCGGGAGCAATGCGTGAGCATGCGGCGGCTTCATTGGCGGGGCCGTGAAGCTGCTGTGATGAGGTGGAGGAGGCTGAGAGACTTAGTAAGAAGCGGGGCAGGGCCGATGCTGACGAGGCTGAGGATTGGACCATGATGCCATGTCTGGAGGATTTCTCGGCGTTGCAACTGGCGGGGGGTTGGGCAGAGAGAGAGAGAGAGAGAGAGAGAGAGAGAGAGACGGTGATGTGTCAAGATTGTGGGATATTTTGGGGGATTAAGCAGGGAGATTATAGAGTTTTGGGAAGCTTTACTGAAAATGCGAGACAAAAGACATCACTCGCCAACTTGGGCCAGTGGCTGTGCGCCAAAGTACCGCCTTGTTATCTACGAGTATAAGGTACTAACGTACTAATCCCATCACCAGCCACAGCGATGCTAACAAAGCAGAAGGCTCCTTCCACCTTTCTGCTGTTTGAAAATTCCAATGGCATCAACAAGGTTCGTCTTATTTTTTTGCTCTTCTTTTTCACGCACACATACGCACGCACACGCTCCTCTCCAATTCTTCCCCGTCCTTCAGATGCAACAGTCCGGCTTTTTCGCCAAGCTTGGTGGGCTTGGGGGGCTCAAATAACCGGATAAAGCAGCGCTGCCCGGGGCAATGTGAGCCGCCTGACATCACCAGCAGCCGCTAAACTGACCCCTCCGGCAACCCGCTAATCTGCCATCGTCTTTGGGAATTCGACATCCGTTCCTTGATTCCCGGGCGAATAGATGGTCTATATAAGGTCGAATTGAGCACTCTCATCACGTTTGATCGCCTCTCCAGCTTTGCCAGCGTCGCCCTTCTACAATCTCGTCATTTTCTTCCTCTTTCTCTCCGTCAACACCGAGAACCCGCCCGTCTCCCGAAACAGCTCCAACTCTGTTACTCGTATCGGCCTCATGGCTGCACCCCGCGTCTTCATCGTCCGCCACGGCGAGACCGAGTGGTCACTCAACGGCCGACACACGGGCAGCACCGACATCCCCCTGACGGCCAATGGCCAGAAGAGAGTCATTGCAACAGGCAGGGCCCTCGTGGGCGATGACCGGTTGATTGTTCCCCACCAGCTGTGCCATATGTAAGTCCCTCACTTTTACTCTGGTATTCGTTTGAGCACCCGGCCTCGTTTTGCAGTGTCAAGTTTGTATGCTGCCATCACATTGAGAGGTTGATTTTGAAGTCAAATCCTACTCGTTCCGCCTCCCAGCCACATTGATTCAGTGTTGTTCATACACTGCCACCTTTCAGTCAAGGAAGGAGCAGAAGATGGGCAATTTTTTCTTTTGGTATTTCTTTGCCAACTCTTACCCTTTCATTTATTCGTGTACCATGTTTCAAATATGGTAAAACGTCAACTCTCACTTTCAATTGATTTGCTGAGGATACTACTAAGCGTCTGTACGTCACTCTGGAAGTCTCCGCTAAGAAATGAGATGCCTCTCCCTGCCTCCTCTCCCTTGTTGATTAAATCAGTTCCTTACCCTCTGCTGCCTCTTGGAGTTTTCTTCCGGGAGAGGTTAGAAATGTCGTTTCCCACATCCATTGCACTTGTCAGCCCAGTCCAACTACGTGACAGGTGCAGAATAGCCTTGCTTCACCAGACACCTCACGCTTCTTATACCTTCTCCGTGCTGCACACATAATCTCCCACCAGAGGCTAGGCGTCCTCTGTTGTTCGTACAATGTAGCAGTTCCAATTCCCGCTGTTAGTTCCATTTCCTACAAGTATGGCACGCGTTGGCCTCTGATTTCATTTCTGTACCCAAGCAAATCGTGAATGCAGGGAAAAAAAGGTATATGCTGCAGACAGAAGCTAATCAGTTGGTGCAATTACCCCTACTCAGTTACGTCTCCCCGCGAAAACGAGCACAGCGCACCTTTGAACTGCTCAATCTTGGCATATCCGGCCCGCTGCCATGGCAACCGCATGGCAATTCCCTTGGAGGCAGTCTTCAATGCAATGCCAAGGTCGAGATTACCGAAGACATTCGGGAGTGGGACTATGGGGACTACGAGGGCGTCACAAGCCCAGAGATCCGCAGAATGAGAGCCGAGCAGGGTCTCGAAGGAACTTGGGACATTTGGAAAGATGGCTGTCCAGGAGGAGAGTAAGTCACGCCCTTCCCTTGGCTCGTATATCAATGAGAATAACGCACACGCCCCGGGACATACAGCCCCTTCGATGCTACCTTAGGGCGGCTCTTGTCTCAGAATCATACGATACACGATACGCTTTCAAGTTTATATCTGACATGTTATAGGAGCCCGCAAGATATCACCGACCGCCTTGACCGTCTCATCGCCGACATTCGCAAAAGATTTCATGAGCCCGTCCTAAATCCGCCTGGGGGTAAACAGCCACACAAGGTGTCGGGCGATATCCTCATTGTTGCGCATGGACACATCCTGAGAGCCTTTGCTATGCGGTGGTCCGGCAAGACTCTTCAGGATGGTCCAGCATTCTTACTCGAGGCCGGCGGAGTGGGAACTTTGAGGTGAGCAATGAAGATTTTCCTTTTTCCTTCTTCTCCCCGTATCGCGCCGCTCGCCCACCTCCATCTTTGTCATCTGCCTCCCCCCAGACCAGATGGATTGATATATTTACCATGTCAAAGCTCACTAATGACGCTTATGTTGATTCTAGCTACGAGCATCACAATATTGATGAACCCGCAATTCTCCTGGGCGGAGCCTTTGTTGTTGATCTCGAAGAGAAAGGACAGTAATCTTGAGTTTGAATTTCGCAAGCATCTTCTTCGTGAGAGATGCTCTGCATCACATAGAATTATCCATCATCTTCACAGCTTGCGTTTGCACACTTGAAGCAACACAAGACGAGTTCACCAGGCTGCCTGCCTACCTTATGCATTCATTGGATAGAGATGTACACCTCTCATCGTACTTATCCCATCGCATAAGGTCTTTTACCTATCTCTCTACCTTCTTAATTTCGCGAGTATGTTCCATCGGCATGATGTTACGTTTAGTGTTCCCCATCCCCTTTCATTCTGTTCACAAGCCTAGCCTACTTGGGCGGCTTGCCAATAGTTCCTTTGGTTCTTCTTTCTTCATCCTTGTCCCTCAGAAAGGAGTGGAAGCCGTGTTTTTACCTAAGGACCAGGATAGACGGATTCAGGTCTATTGATTCAACTCCGGCCGCCCAAAGGCCACAAAGATGGGCACGGGGAACGTAAAGTGTCGTCTCCGATGAGTTGTTACATCAAGATCGAGATTTTTCATAGAATTCCACAGTCGAGCCATCCGTCATCGCCGACAAAATGCCACGTATCAGTCAGACACCAGCTCATCATTTCAGCCGTTGAAGCTAGGAATCAATGTCTTGTCTTCCTTCAAGGGGAGAGCTGAGCTCGACATCCCAGTTGCGAGATCAACATGCCTTCATGACTACGTCACTTCGAAATGCTGGCGAGATAGTGGCACTGTTCATAGCAATCACCCCTTCTCCTACGACACGCCGTTTACTCCGTTGCTCCGAGTCAGACTTTGGTCTTACCAACAGATCCGCAGACAGATAGTCAGTCGGTCAATTGTAACCACAGACACAGAAAGGCCAAAAGCTATCACAAGCCATCACAAGCTCGCTCCCCCCAGATATAAGACAACTCCCTTGCTCCAGCCTCCTTAGACCAAAATTTTGGGGTTGTTTGAAACTTGGTCTCCAAAATCGGAGGTGATTCTGACACGGCACCTCCGCGTTAGCCGGGCACCTCTATCGGTCGTCCGCCTAAAGCTTTCCGGATGGGCGGGCCGGTTCATAAGCCCGCAGATCCGAGAGGCTGGGGGTCAGCGTCCTCCACCGCAGCCCGCTCGCGCTCCCAAGGATCATGCAGCCCGGTGCCCAGAGAGCACGGGTGGAACCGCAACGGTAGCGGGATTAATCATGCTGTCATAATTCACCTCGAGGTACGAAGATTTGAGTTAACGGTTGTCGGGTCAGATGTCGTGGCGGTGAGGCAAATACATGATGACCCTGCCTTTGCCGCTGAGTACAGCTGCCTGCAAGCAGCTGGCTTTTACCCACCAGCTTTGCTGCAGATGGCAATGGCGTGCCATTTTCTGGATCCTCGAGAAAGAATTTATGGAGTTGGTGGGTTTCGGCCGGGAGCATCTACCTAACCGTGTCTTTTTTGTGTCGGTAACTGTTCGGTGGCTTGCCCGCTGGAGATTGATCTGGGAGGGTTGCGTGGACAATCCGCGCTAGGCATAACCGTGTTTCCAGCTCATCTTTGAAAGACCAGGTGCTGAGCTGATGAGCTTGTTCATCATCATCTCCCGTTGCTCAATTTCGAAGCAATCGCCTCCCTGTCAGACGTAATGGGCTGCGTTGGTCATTCTCCCTTTGCGTCACGCTCGAATTGACCCCTCAGTCTTAGCAACGAGCATGGCGAATTTCCCTCCTCCTCCTTCCCCTCTTCTCTCGGCTCGGGCTGGTGACAGCTGTGGGCAAAGGAGGGTTGGCAATATGGAGGCGCAGCAAGCCTGCAGCAGTGGGCGTCTGTGGAGAAACGTGGCCAGATTCTATACGCATGTCAAGCTGCTTGTCACCGCCGAGGTGCGTTGTTGGTACCGCTTGCTGCGTCGTGGAATTCATTGAGAACTCACCAGTCATACTGAGACACCGCAGCCTAGTCCAGGGGGGCCCCGAGGTGTCAGCGGATCACGGGTGACTATGCACCTGCAAGAGCGCACCGTTCCGCGGGCGACACTTTCTAATGGCTTTAGTGGCGACACAAGCCGATGTGTGGGTTGTGGATGGCAAGTTCGAGCGCCGCACTTTGCATCGTCATTGGCTCGCTCTGCCCTTGTACAACACAGGAAGAAAAAAAAAATCTTCTGAAAGGATGGCACGTCGATGTGATATGCACCTTGCCCAATCCGCTGATGCTGATCGCATGCCAAGTGGAGGAAGCGAGCACAGCACGGCAGGGGCTTGTTTTCGAATGCCCGACAATGGCTGGTTGCGTGTGGCTTTCTGATACATGTATTGCTGAAGGGGGGGAAGGGGGTTTGCATCAGAAGCTCCTCATCGAGTCTTCGATTCAAGCTGAGTACTATTTTTGACTGGCACAGAATAAGAGGAGCCAA